CGCAGATGATATAGCTGCACTTGCAGAGGACTCCAAACAGCTACAGGAACTACAAATGATCATGAATACAATCTTTAATAAATATGGACTCAAAATTAATAGCAAGAAAACTAAAATAATGACAATAGCTAAAACTAAACCTCGACAAAATAATACTATTTAAATTAACAATACTCAGTTCTTAGAACAAGTAAATACATTTAAATATTTAGGCAGTTTAATCACAAGTGATTGCAAATGTACTCCGGATGTAGTCACGAGAATAGTCATGGCCAAACAAGCCTTCAATAACAAAAAACACCTTTTACAGGCTAAGATAACAAAAGATATTAGAAAGCGGCTTATCAAAACCTATATCTGGAGTATAGCTCTGTATGGATGTGAGACGTGGACATTAACTCAGAAGGAAATGGATAAACTTGGAGCCTTTGAAATGTGATGCTGGAGAAGGATGGAGAAAATTAGCTGGAGGGATCGAATTAGCAATGAGGAGGTCCTGCTTAGGGTTGAGGAAAAAAGACAAATTATTGGAACTATTGAGGACAGAAAGGGAAAAATGTTGGGACACTTGAAACGACACGACGAACTTATGAACATTATAATAGAAGGTAAGATAGAAGGAAGGAGGGGAAAAGAGAGACCGAGACATAGTTAATTAGAGACGAGCTGGTGTCGTGTCGTATCAAGAGGTGAATAGACTCGCTGAAAATCGTAGTGAGTGGCAAGAGCTTCACCGACGAGAGAGCAGCTCTTAAATAGGATAGATAGATAGATGTATTACACGCTCCTAATATAAACACGATTGCTAACACTCCTTCCGTCGTAACTGGACTTCGTTATCAAAAAGACGAGGTCACGAATCCCCAATCAATATGCTGGCAGGTGAAATTTCTCAACACGTCTATTTGTTGGCAAAATCTAATTTCCAAATTCGTGAAATTAAGTAACACTGATAGATAACAGGGTGGTGCACATACTTAACGAGTCGGCGTAATATAAAATTGCAACGGAATGCAAACTGCATAGAAGCGAGAGCGGGGGCGTGGTATCTGTTTGCGCAACAGCTAATAGTCCGTATTCTGACTCGAAACTAGATCAGAATTGGAAATATGTTTGGAAACATGTAAATTATTACCATTAACCTATGCATTTAGTAATATAAAAAGTTTAAATTAATTTATAATACTTATATTTAAAAATATATCAATTTCATCACCATCATTTCAGCTAATCATTTAATTTGTTAAGTTTAATTAAACTGCACCTCATTCGTGTTGTGTTAACACGTTTTAGAGTAACAATCTTGTGCAATGTCTTGTATATCTATAATTAACTATGTACATTTTTTATTGTAATCTGGTTGTGTTTTCCAAATAAAATAGAATAATAAATATTTTTTTTAAATTTTTTTTTATACAACTTAGAATGGCAAACTAGCTGACAGTCCACCTGATGGAAAGTGGTAACCATCGCCTATAGACATGAGCGGTATCATGGACAGAACAGAGTATACTGTTTCGCCCATGATACCCTCCACGCGTTGCCATTCCTGAGGACTCAGGTGTTATTCCTCTGTACCCAGTAAATTCACTGCCATATCCCACCCTTCAAACCGAAACACAGCCATGCAAACACAACTGCTTCACGGTTGAAACACGAATGGCACAGAGGTATCCAAGCAATCGACTTTTGTACAAAGTCTCCCTCTAGTAGTAATTACTGATGTATGCTGAGTTACTCCTTTATCGACAAGTAACCACCCAAACATTCTAACTGACATTTATAAAACACTAGCTACTGGTATATACAGCATCCAGAGTATGATAGCAAGCAGGCTGGACTGTGTGTACGTTAATCACTGCTGCGCAAATTCCAATGGAATTGTACAGCGATGATTATCTGTATACTATTTAATATATTAAGTGTGTGAGTGTGCGTGCGTGAGTGCGTGTGTGAGTGCGTGCGTGCGTGCGTGCGTGCGTGCGTGCGTGCATGCGAGCGTGCGTGTATTGTGTATGTAAATTTACTATTTTTTTTATACAACTTAGAATGGCAAACAAGCTGACGGCCCATCTGATGGAAAGTGGTAACCGTCGCCTATAGACATGAGCAAGTACCATGGACATAACAGACTATACTGTTAAAACACGAATGGGACAGAGGTACCCAAGCAATCGACTTTTGTACAAAGTCTCCCTCTGGTAACATTAGTTTTAAGGATATTGTTACTAATAAATATTAAATGGATCAAAATAGTCCCAAATAAAAATTATTATTATTGTTATTATATGGCACAGTTAAGGCCGCATGAATCATTATATAAAATATCTCATGTTTCAGGTTTCTTTTTTTATGGGTGAAAAATGTCCCCGCCTGCGCTAACGGGATACGCTGGCGGAGCACCAGTGAAGGGTGATAGATGAGAATGAAAAATTTCAGTTAGCCCATCATGATGAATTCATCAAGAATTAACCATGATGGTTTCCAGGGGGAACCGCGAGGAGGTCGACCTGGTTGGGTATATTGCTAGGATAGGATTCTCAGTCTCCATTACTAACAATCCCTTTCCCCCCTATGTTTTAGGTTAGGATATCAAAGTTTTTTTTTACAGACTGCAGTATGGGGTTCTTCTAAAAGAAGGTTACAAACATTAGCTAAAGTACAACAAGTGGGTACGTTAAAGATTAGCAACAATTAAATACGCAAGTTTCCCAACTTGCTAAATTATGAGCGGTGTCGTGGGAATAGAGAACATAATGCACTTAAAATAATGTTGCATTGTAATAACTCAATTAGAATAGGTCATCCACCTTGCACGGTACTTCACTTCGATGATATTCTATAAGCTATGTTACAAAAAAGTTCGTGTCCCGAAAATAACTTACTTCGATCGTGGTCTTAACCAGTTGATTAGCGTAAATTTACAGGGTACAGAGGAATAACATCTGAGTCCTCAGGAATGGCAACGCATGGGGAGTATCATACGCGAAACAGTGTACTCTGTTATGTCCATGGTACTGCTCATGTCTATAGGTGACGGTTACCACTTTCCATTAGGTGAACCGTCAGCTTGTTTGTCATTGTAAGTTGCATAAAAAAAAAGTTGTTTTAATTTAAAAACTAAACTACTCAACCGGTTTTGATAAATTTTCTATAAAATCAATCTGTAAGTATATCCTTTAAGATAAACCGAAAAAAAGGTTTACTATTTATGAAGTTATGAGGTTTTTTTACACAACTTAGAATGGCAAACAAGCTGACGGTCCACCTGATTAAAAGTGGTAACCGTCACCTATAGATTATGAGTAGTACCATGGACATAGACAAACATAATGCCCATAAAATAATGCGTTGCCATTGTGAGAACTTAGAATGTCATCCTCTTGCATGTAAATTCACTATCATATACCCTTCAAACTATGAAACACAACTGCTTCACAGTAGAAATACGAATGGGACAGAGGTGCCCAAGCAAACGACTTTTGTATATTATCTCCCTCCCTTCCTCCACAAACTCCAAAAAGAGGTTGTGTTATGTTACACGACCCCTGCCGTAATTATTTCTAAACTGATTTTAATGCGTATTTTTAGTGTACCGTATTACTTTTTCACAATTAAATTCGCCATTCTATTTACGAATCGAAATCTTATATGTAAATATTAAATGTTACAATGAATAAGTAATGCTTTTGATTAAATATATTTATATATTAATTGCATCATGCAAAGTTCAAAATATATTATACTATATATATATATATATATATATATATATTAACTGCTTCATTTACATAGTTATGCCTTCGTTTTGCATTACAAAATTATTAGCGTAGGTTGCTTAATAAGACCTTATGCAGCGTATTGAATTATGAACAGTACTGAATAAAGTTGTATGCGACCATTCATAATGGAGCACTGACACTGATGCAATGATTTTTTCGATCATTATAAGAAATTATAACCTACCACTATTGATATATTTTGTACAAGATTTTGCTGGAAGAAATCTCTTATTAGAGATAAGCTCGCCTTTGTACATTATGTTTATAATGAATTGTAATTAACAGTATGTTTTGTGTACAATAAAGAATAAAGAATAAAGATTTATAATATCATATGATTTTAAATAATAAATGGGATTATTAAATTATTTTTTGTCTTGTTTAAACATTAAATTTCTTTAAAAATAACCTCTATATTGTAAAGTAATTATAGCATACGAGTTATTGGTATTTTTAAACACTCAAGTGACCATTATTAAAAAAAAAATACCAATTTAAATTCAAATATCAAACAAGTCTTTACTAATACTATTATTATTTAATGCCATAAGATCGAAACAAATGAATTATTATTTCCAAGTTTCAAACATACTTTGTTATTTTTTTTTGTTACTCTGTACCTTTGTTGTATCTATGTATGTGTATGTACCTGTGCTTATAGATACATAGATAGATACTCTTTATTGTTTCCTCTAAAACATTACAATAGTAAACTTATTATAAATATAGATAGAGTGTCTCCATACAAATGCTTCGAGAAAAGCGGGTTAACTTTTTCATACAATTTTGCATGATAAATAGTTATGAATGATTCCTTTATAACTTCTATGTTTATTTTGTCTTATAATTTTTTCGACTTTTAATGCGTAAAAACTTATTTTATTTATTAAATAATGAAATATAGATACGTCAGGATAAATTGTGTACGCAAGTATATAGAACAGTAACAAAAAACGAGACAGCTAATAGTAAAATTAGCTGACAAAAAGTTGACCCGTTTTTCAGACTCGATACTCTATCTATATAATTTAAATGTTATTGGTTAACTTTTTTTTTATTTTGTTGTTCTTTACTTAATTTTAAAGCAAATACCCCTGTTTAGATACCCTTAAATGAAATAATTAAAACATTAAAATAATATTAATTTTAATTAACAACTCCTTATCTAATTTTAATTTTATTGGATAATTAAATATATTATAAATTAAAAATACTGACCTTCAAAACAAACATGGCGGTCTCAGTCCGTGTGAAACGTCAAACTTTCCCGCGTTTTCGCACAAGCTATGGCGTCCGTCAGCAACACACGTCTGTGGCGCGGCTGGCCGCCACTTATATTTATAATGTCGCAGGTTTCGTTACAACAGATAGGTACAAGAATATTGTTATGCGGTGTGCGGAGCCCTAACGTGGTTTTGTAACACTACACCCCTAGTTGACTGCCAGTGTTATAAATTAGGTGACGAATCTATTCGTAATACCTATTATTCATACATATACAAACATTTATAGACAAATATTCATATATTCATTTTTTGTTCATAAATACTTTTAAAATTCGAGTTCTATATTTTTTTTTTTTTTTTGTATCTTGTATTATACTAGGGCAAAGTAATAATGCCAGAAGGTTATTTTAAATTTTATTGTTTGATATTGATGAAAAAGGAAAAGTAACAATTTATTAATCCTTAATCTGATGATATTAAATTTAGAGATTTCCGTATTACTAATACCGGTGTCCTTTACTGCTTTAAGTCGAGTCAGGTTTTCTAGTAGTTGACCACAAACTACAAGTAACATATCGATGTTTTCTTACGTAATATATTTTCACCCGTTTTGTCCTAGCTACAACAGAAGCGACTTTTCCTCTAGTAAGCTCCATTGTCGGTTATATATATTAATTTTAAAAATTCTGTTGCCCGTGCGAAGCAGCGTTGTATCGCTAGTATCATCAACATTATCTTATTCATTATTTATTTATTATATATGTATTTGTTGAGCTTTTCAGATTTACCAATGCACTCATCAAAAACAAAAAATAGAACATTATAATAATGTAATAATAAAAAATATATAAATAAATAAATAGATAATATCTACAAGAATAAAATTAAAAAACAAAATCTAATTATACTATAAAAAATATACATTAAAAATGCATTTCTGCCTAATTATTATCCGTCCACTGCTAAACATAAGCTTTCCCCATAGACTGTTGTAAGATCACATCACTAGTGTATATGGGACATCACTAGAGGTGAACACTGATTGGTGGATTAATAGTATTGTAGAATAATGGCTGTCTGAGTAATGAATAAAGGATCTGCAATAATTAAATAAACCGTCTATTAATAAATAACTATAAAAATATATAGACTGCCGTAAGGAACGGTCCTGAGCCACCTGCATCCACTGACTCCCTGCAATGCTAGTATACACAGGTCAATTTCCAATAAACCTCTAACAAAAAGCAACTGAGATAATAAAATAAAAGACTTTGAAATAAAAACTGCACAATCAGTGAAAGAATGCGCCGTACATTGTGGCGTCTACACTCTACAGCCCCCGGACACGCCCACGACATCTCGAGAGATCTTTACGAGATGCAAGGCCAAGTGCGACCAGTTCACTATATACACCAAGGGCTAGACATGTCTGGATGCAGACATATCCTATTTCTTTTTTTTTTTTTACTGGGAACAAGTGTTTGATACAGTGACTTTTTTTTTATACGACTTAGAATGGAAAAACAAGCTAACGGCCCACCTGATGGAAAGTGGTAACCGTCGCCTATACACATGAGCAGTACCATGGACATAACAGTGTACACTGTTTCACCCATGATACCCCCCATGCGTTGCCATTCCTGAGGACTCAGGTTTTATTTCTCTGTACCCAATAAATTCACGCCATATACCACCCTTCAAACCGAAACACAGCCATGCAAACACAACTGCTTCATGGTTGAAACATGAATGGGACAAAGGTACCCAAGCAATCGACTTTTGTACAAAGTCTATAAATTTAGAAGGTTAGACACCTTCTCACTCTTTGTCCTTTCTAAAAATGCTTTTTTTTCATTCCTTTAATGGCAATTGGTCGTTATTTTTATGACCAATTCCGCCAGCTTCATAGATAAGGGGCTCGTACTGGATATGAAAAATATATAGGAGTTGTGTTTGCATGGCTGTGTTTCAGTTTGAATGGTGCGATATGACAGTGAATTTACAGAGTATAGAGGAATAACACCTGAGTCGTCAGGAATAGCAACGCTTGGAGAGTATAATGGACGAAACAGTATACTCTGTTATGTCCATGGTACTGCTCATGTCTATAGGTGACGGTTACCACTTTCCATGAGATAGGCCGTCAGTTTGTCATTCTAAGTTGCATAAAATAATATTTAATATTATGTGAGCACATTAATTTAAATTAAATTAAATCCTAACCAAATGGCTCCCGCTGTAAATCAGCGCTGTAGCTACTCGGCTGCAGCATAACGCTGAGCGGGGACCAATTCAGCAAACATTACGTAATACATTCACCTCCTGTATTAGTTATTTTACTCTGTATGAACATTTTTTGTAAGTGTAACATTGTTTACTGAATAATTTTTTTTTATTGGATGAAAATGGAATGGTAACCCCGCCTGCGCTAACGGGATACGCTGGCGGGGCACCAGTGAAGGGTGATAGATGAGAATGAAAACAGGCCAGTTAGCCCATCATGATGAATTCATCTGGAATTAACTATGATAGTTTCCAGGGAAAACCACGAAGAGGTCGACCTGGTTGGGTATTATGCTAGCAGTGGGATTCTTAGTCTCAATTACTAACAATCCCTTTCCCCCCTGAATAAACTATTATTATTATAGATTATCATACAGACTGGAATAGCAAAGTTATACTCAAGAACTAAACAACCTTCTTACTCGCGCCTTTTTAGGTCATTAACACAATATAATACGGGGTGTAAGGGATTGTTAGTGATCAGGTCTAATAGCACCATTGCTGGCAATATAACTTTCAGATCGACCTCCATGCGGTTCCCCCTGGAAACCATCATTATTCTTGTCGAATTCATCACTGGTGCCCCGCCAGCGTATACCGATAGCGCAGGCGACGTTACCATTCCATTGTCACCCATTAAAAAAAACATACACAATGTAATATTGTTATTGAAAGTATTCAATATCATATCGTCACAGTCGTAGAATACCGACGGATCTTTATATGTAATCTTTGTCAGATCCGTCAGTATTCTACGACTGTGACGATATCGTTGTATACATACAATTAATAATAAAATAAATAGATAGTATTTATTAGACTTCAATTCCATTTAGTCTTGTTATCGTCTAAAAATGAAAATTCCTTTCAATTTTGTTTTTTTTTTTAATCTTTTTTATTTAGAGGCTTTTATCCTATAAGGATATGTCAGCCGCATCATACCCTAATTTTAAAAAATAACTTACATTTTTTTTTACAACACAGGGGGCAAACGAGCATGCGGCTCACCTGATGGTAAGTGACTACCGCCGCCCATGATCACCCACAACACCAGCGGCATTGCAGGTGTGCTGCCGGCCAAACTTAAAACATTGATACATAAATAAATAATACATAATATCTTAGTAGTCTATTTAATAAAGGGAATTATTGATACAAAAATATATGTGAGTGTGGTACTGCGAGTATATTTGAAAATAAACCAATCTCCTGTCTATTGAGACTATATTGTTACCGAATATAAATTTAAAGGATCATATCCCCTGGACTATAATATAATGCGACCATAGATCATGCGACATATCGTACGAGTATTAGGTATGTTCTCGTTTCATGTACCATACATATTTGTGGGTGGTCATAATCTTTTGTCTGTATGCATACTATGAACATTCACATCGCATTGCTACGTTTTTCTCAGTGCATATATTATAATGTCTTTATAGTAAAAAAAAAAAACCACTGAACATATTGAACAGCGCCATCTAGGTCCAAACTTAAATTTATATATAGAACAGCGCCATCTAGGTCCAAACTTAAATTTATATATTAAACAGCGCCATCTAGGTCCAAACTTAAATTTATATATGTTACAGTCAAAACTCTTTACCAGTCAAAAGTACTATTGACTAGCAAAATCAATCAAAAATACTTTTTTTTATACAACTTAAAATGGCAAACAAGCTGACGGCCCACCTGATGGAAAGTGGTAACGTCGCCTATAGACATGAGCAGTACCATGGACATAACAGAGTATACTGTTTCACCCATTATACCCCCTATGTGTTGCCATTTCTGAGGACTCAGGTGTTATTTCTCTGTAGCGTATAAATTCACTGCCATATCTTATCCGTCAAACCGAAACTGGCTGTGTTTCGGTGCAAACACAACTGCTTCACGGTAGAAACACGAATGGGATAGCGGCTTGGGAGGCTTATGTCCAGCAGTGAACAGTTATAGATTGATATGATGATGATAATGATGATGATACTAATACTAATATACAAAGATATTTTGGAAAATTATTGAATGGATTTTGACAAAGAAGTTTGTACCAAACAGCCTTACGCCCATTTGATACAAAGTGGTAGGTAACTCTCGTCTATAAACATGAATAGGTACGTAGAATATACGGTGACGTTCATAAGGCCCCATATACTGCGATACCTACATGCATTGCCATTCCTGAGGACTATGGTGTTATACCTCCATATCCTGTTATTTCATTGCCATATCCCATATTTCAAAAGTCCTTATTTATAAGGGATAATGATATATAACACCTTCCTAAAAACATTAAAAATCAGTTGAAGGTCAGTGAGAGTAGGCACCTACTTCCGGCTTGCGCTTGCGCACATTGTGACTCATTTCTTATAATAATAACTTCACGTAATCGGGGCATTTACGTTCACAGAACAAACTAAGGGCTTGTCCTTGAGTAAAATGCCCCGTTGCCACTAACTTGAGTGCGGGTTGCAATATAATTTTATAAAATACTAGTTGTTACTGGCGACTTTGTTCACGTGACCGGATATGTTTGACTGGGCTAGCGAGTAGTCTTAGATCATATAGATAGAGTGCCCCCATAGAAATGCTTCGAGAAAAACGGGTCAACTTTTTCACACAATTTTACATGATAAATAGTTATGAGTGATTCCTTTATAACTTCTATATTTATTTTGTCTTATAATTTCTGCATCTTTTAATGCGTAAATACTCATTTTATTTATTAAATAATACGTCAATATATATATTTTAAATACTGATAAAAAATACGAGTTAGCTAATTTGCCAATTAGCTGACAAAAAGTTTTTGAGTCTTAATGCTCTATCCACGTAATCTAAGCAAGTATTTTAATTATTTAATACACGTAGAAGATCAGGTAATGTACGCAGCATGTTTAAAGAAAGTAAATTGCATTAAGAAGGAATAAAATTAATTTTCTAAGGGCCCTTTTTGTTCTAAGGAAAAAATATCTAAGGATTCTTAGACATTAATAACTACCGAACGTAGCAGCTTAGCTGTTATCAATATACTTTATCAGGTCCACCTCCTCGTAGTCCTTTCTGGAAACCATCGTGCTGAATTTCAGGTATTTCATCATGATGGGCTAACTAACTATGCTTTTCTCACCTATCATTCCTCACTGGTGCCCCGCCAGCGTATACCGCTAACACAGACGGTGTGGGGGAAAGGGATTGTTAGTAATGGAGACTGAGAATCCCATTGCTAGCAATATACCCAACCAGGTCGACCTCCTCGCGGTTCCCCCTGGAAACTATCATGGTTAAGTCTTGATGAATTCATCATGATGGGCTAACTGGCCTGTTTTCATTCTCATCTATCACCCTTCACTGGTGCTCCGCCAGCGTATCCCGTTAGCGCAGGCGGGGTTACCATACCAATTTCACCCATAAAAAAAAAACACAGGCGGAGTTACGATTCCATTATCATACATTAAAAAAAAAACTCAGTAATAATAAAAAATACACAAAAGCTCCCTTTGATAAAGATGATCTGCAAGGGGGGAAGGGGACTGTTACTAATGGGGTTTAATTCATTGCTAACAATAAATCCTATTAAGTCGACCTCCACGCGGTTCCCCTTGGAAATCACGATGATTAATTCCTTTGGAATTCATCACAATGGGCCAACTGACCTGTTTTCATCCACTCCTATCATCTCTTACTGAAGCCTCGCCAGCGTATACAATAATACGTAATAGCACAGGTAAGATTACCGTTTTATTTTCATCCAAAAAAAGTTGACCAGCATTTTGTAATTATGGAGTAATATTCCTTCTACAGGGATAAGACGTCCCCAATAATGGGACGTTTATGGTGGTATGGTAATTATAACCTAAATTAGATAATTACATAACAAAACAGTCGAACGATTTTCACCGTATTGCGTCCACGCTGCGTCGGCCATGACACCTGCCGCCATTTGTATGCACGGGGCGACGCGACGGCCCGCAATAAATTGCATATTATTACATCGCCATTGTTTCACATCCTTTAGCAATTATATATTGAGAGGTCCATTTCTAGGACTTGAGAAATTTAGCAAATAACAATAATGTTACTTACCTACATGATAAAATAAACAATTTGCGAATACCGTATAATGAATATAAGTTTCCCGTAGATGTGCCTTTTACATACACACATACATATCTGTCACGCCTGTCTCCCATTAGGGTAGGCAGAAACAATGGAACGCCAAATGCTTCGATTCAAACAAACCTCTTTCGCTTCCTCCACATTCATCAATCTTTTCATACACGCTCGCCGGTTACGGGTACTTTTAATTTGGCCCTTCTTTAGGACGTCGCCTATTTGGTCAACATACGTTCGTCTAGGGCGGCCCCTACCGACATCTCCATTCATTCTTGCTCAATAAATCTCTTTCGTAATTCTTCTTTCATCCATCCTCTCCAAATGGCCAAACCAACGCAACATTGCTTTTTCGATTTTTGTCACTACATCGTCTTTCAGTCCACACTTCTCTCTAATCACACTGTTTCTTACTCTATCTTTTAATGTAATCCCACACATACTTCTCAAAGCTCTCATCCCTACAGCATTTATCTTACTTTCATGCTTCTTCTGCCATACCCACGTTTCGCTTCAAGGCAAGGCGAACTTTGTTCGATACAATTTTACTTTGTGTGCCTTTTAAAACATCATTAAAGTTTAACTGCGGTTGCCAACTCGCCTACTAAGAGAGGCAACTACTGGCAACCCCCATAAGAGGTGGGGGACCTCTTATGGTGAAGCCTATTTTCCGCAGTGGACAGTTAATGTCTGGCACTTTTTTCGTTAACGGCTTTCTACTGGATATCTGAACCACATCAGCGCGGGGGAATAGGGATTGTTACCATTGCTAGCAGTACACCCTATCAGGTCGATCTCCACGCGGTTCCCCCTGGAAAACTATGTAATTAATTCTAGTGAAATTTGTCACGATGGACTAACTGACCTGCTTTCATCGTCACCTATCATCCCTCACTGGTGACTCGCCGGCGTATACCGATAGCGCGGGTTACTATTCCATTGTCATCCGTTAAGAAATACATCAGCGCTGGGGGAAGGGAGGACTTGGTTAGTAACGGAAAATAGCTGTTCCATCACTAAATCATGCCAGGTTTGAATACTATTTTTTTATACGATTTAGAATGGCAAACAAGCTGACAGGCCACCTGATGGAAAGTGGTAACCGTCGCCTATAGACATGAGCAGTACCGTGGACATAACAGAGTATACTGTTTCGCCCATGATACCCCCCATGCGTTGCCATTCCTGAGGACTCAGGTGTTATTCCTCTGTACCCTGTAAATTCACGCCACTTAAATACTCATCTACCTGTAGACATAATTGGCCCTCAATTTGACTATATCATTTTGTAAAAACGCATATATGAAGGTAAAAATTTGCTATAATATTAGTAGGGTAGGTGACGTTTGAAATAAATTCGAATAGATCGATTGGAGACGTTTCGCACTCTAGGATTGCAACACTCCCACTAGGGTCGGGATGTCGCCTTGCGGGAGGCACACCCTACATATGACCCTAGGAGGTGTGCGCACGTATCCGTGCCCTCCTGTGATGGTAGAGTGGGAGGGATATTCCCAACCCTAACTAAGAGAGGAGGCCTGCCCTACACCACCTACAGGGCGGGCCGTTGCGTTGGATACTCGGTAGTCGTACAAACGGGAACCCGGGATCCAACATAAGCGCCTCGAGGTACGTCGTGTGGTTTTTAGTGGGTACGAATCCCACACACCCCAGCTGCCCTCCCTCCGGCAGGTGGGACGGTCTTGCTGAAGATTTTCCACACGTCAAACAAAAAAAAGGATTGCAACACTAGCGCCATAATGGCTCCATATTGTTCTAATAAATGCATATTAGTGTCACTTGCATATGCAAACGATTACAAACCGATCACAATTCTAACCTAATTTCTATTTGTTTCATGAATGCAGTACAATCCATACTAGTTTCCAAAGTAGACCCGACGATCATAGTTTTTACTCGATGATAATGAATTGGTAACCCCGTCTGCGCTATCGGTATACACTGGCGGGGCACCAGTGAGGGATGATAGGCGAGAATGAAAGGGCAGGTCAGTTAGCACATCGTGATGAATAGATCTGTAATTCAGCAGGATAGTTTCCAGGGGGAACCACGTGGAGGTCGACCTTACTAACAATCCCTTCACCCCATATGATCATAATATTACAACAAATCTAATTTAATTTTAAACTCTAAACTTTCGTGCGTCCCACCAAACTGTTTATAATTACTCCTCTCCACCCAAAGGTTGCCTGGAAGAGATCGCTCTTAGCGATAAGGTCGCCCATTGTTTTCTCATTGTGATTATTTCTTGTAATTATTTATATTTATAATAAGTTTACTATTGTAATCTTTTGGAGGAAACAATAAAGAGTATCTATCAATTTTTAGAGGAATCCATTGTTTTCTAAAAATTTTGATTAATGGGTAAGGAAAATAATTAGAACAAAAAGAAAAACCAACATTCTCAATAAAAGAACTTTATTACTAAACGGAGAGAAAAATACACTAAAAAAATTACACGATCAATGGCAGCTATACTTTTACGCCTAACTTATTATACTCGAGCGAAAGGAAACATCGGACATCTTGAATTTTAATAACATTTTTAAATAGTTTGGAAGCCAAGCCAATATGCCAATAACACTTTTTTTTTCAATATTTTAAATTCCGAACGATTTCTTTTTAAACAGTTGTTGAGGTTAAGAAAATTTATACAATTTATTGTTGTATATTGTTTAATTTTATCATATAAAGAGTTATTAGCAGATTTTTGATTACAAATAATTTATTAAAAACATAATTAGATAATTTTTACATTTTTTTTTTATATATTTCAACAAATGATTTGAACCAAATATGTATTTAAAATCCAGAAGTTATGAGTCCTTCACACAAAATACCTATTTAAATATATTCATAATATTCTGTTGTTAAAATTCACGTTAATTGTGCTGCAAGTAAATTAATATAATAATGAAATATAATTAACATGAGTAATATAAAACGGTTTAAAATAAAAAGCTAAAAACCTAACAAGGAGTAAAGGAAACATTGCAATTTTTAAATACATCTCACACTTGGCTCCCAAGTATTTTTTTTTTTCTTATTTATAAATCCAACACTGACACAACACATACAGCCAAATCTCACAACTTAAAGCAATTCGGGCTTGGTAGTTTATATTACGGTACAATATACATTTGAGTTAAAATTACATTAAAATTAAATAGATCTTTATTTTCTGAAGTTTTTTTTTTTTTATTTAGAGATAAATTTGAAAAATACTATCATAGAATCAACCCCAATTTTGTTATTCAATGGATTTCCATGTACTATTTAATTTGATTGCATTGGACTGGATTGCTTTAATCCATGCTTTAGTCAAATGTCTTCCATTTTTTTTTTTTTGTTCTCGTAGAAACTACTATAAGATTTATATAGAAATATTTCGCAAAAACTACTGTGTTTTCTAGGCTTAGAACATACACGTATATTTTAATAGATATTTGGCAAAGTCATGCCCATATCATTTTTATAAATCATGTAGAATTAACAATTTCTTTTTATACAACTTAGAATGACAAACAAACTGACGGCCCACCTGATGGAAAGTGGTAACCGTCGCCTATAGACATGAGCAGTACCATGGACATAACAGAGTATACCGCCTCGCCCATAATACCACCCATGCGTTGCCATTCCTGAGGACTCAGGTGTTATTCCTCTGTACCCAGTAAACTCACGCCATATCCCACCCTTCAAACCGAAACACAGCCATACAAACACAACTGCTTCACGGTTAAAACATATTACAATATAAACAATTTATAAAGATAGTAAGCACAAGAATTTCAAATCCTAAGTAACTACACCGTTCAGAATCGACAGAATTATCCATGGACGATACAAACAAAATTGTGAAGAAAACTACCAAACCCGAAAACCTTACAAAACCATCCTAAAAGGAAACAACAGTTCGTCATAAACCTATGTTTATGTCTATACATATAAACATATATACGCTTACAGTATATACACACAGTGACCAACACTTAACAAGTTTTTTTTTCATGTCTCAATGCGCTCTCAGTACATAATAATTCCTTTACTCTATGGTCATACATATACATACTTAAATTATGAATATACAGACATTCAAGAAAAAATACCCGATTTTTAATGTTAAAAAATGACCTCATTTTTTAACATTAAAAATAGGTACTCACATCCGCTTAAAAACTGCTGTTGAATTAAAAATCAAATATGTAAAAATTCTTAAAAAAAAAAGCTTGAGGAAAATGTTGTATGCCATAACTAAAATAAATTTTACAAATGATACGTTTTGAAAATAATACAGAAGCAAAATTCATGTTTTTACTCATGTATATGACATATATGTGTATATATATACATATGTATCAATACACATATTTTTTTTGTTTTATACAACTTACAATGGCAAACAAGCTGACGGCCCACCTGATGGAAAGTGGTAATCGTCGCCTATTGTTTATAGGCGACGATGAGCAGTACCATGGACATAACAGAGTATACTGTTTCGCCCATGATACCCCCCATGCGTTGCCATTCCTGAGGACTCAGGTGTTATTCCTCTATACCTGTAAATTGACTGTCATATCCCACCCATCAAACCGAAACACAGTCATGCAAACACAACTGCTTCACGGTTGAAACACGATTGGGACAGAGGTACCGAAGCAATCGACTTTTGTACAAAGTCTCCCTCTGGTAAATATTAAACTTGTTAAAATGGCTATACATATTTGGTAAAAGTTTTGTGTCACTTTATTATACATATATAAATTGTGGACTATTTCATTCCTCAATCACTTGATAAATGTTAAAGAGTAAGATAGAAATAGAAATAAAAGACGAAAGAAATTTTATATACGTACTATTTTCCTTTCATATTTTTTTTGCAAAAATAGAGAGAATAACTAACTATTTTTGCGTGGCAACTGCGCCATATCCATTGATATATCCTTATATGTGAATAGATGAGAAATGGCAAGAGTAGAGGATGCCAACAAAGATGGGAAGACCTAACTCACAGCTAGACATGTTTGAAGAAGGGTAGCGCGTGACAGACCCCAGTGGAAATTGTTAGAGGCCTATGCTAAGGGGAAAACTGAACTTAGGGGCATATTGTGACAAACAAGATGTACTAAGAAGTTCAGAATATATATATATATATATATATATATATATAAATGGATATGGCGTATCTATATATGAATACTAAAAGTACTTTTTTTAGGTCAGAAATACACATGTAAAAAAATCCGGGTATTTTTTCTTAACGGCCTGTATAATAAATTATTGTATACAGGGTTACTTTGAATATTACAATACAATTATCTAATGAAGACATTAAAAATATTTGAGACATACTCCTAAGACTTTTTTTTATTTTTAATGTCTTTAAGATTTCCAAAAAAAAAATCCATTTCCTCAGCCACCTCTCTGCCCACTAACAATTAATTACAAGAACTCTTATTTTAATATATTCACTTGCATTTTTCGCATTTTAATACCATCGCTACTTTTTTTTTAATATTCAAAAACCAACACATTCGGGAACATTAATTATCAGATTGAAAATTTTAATTTTCCAATAAACGCCACAAATTTGACACCACTCTTAATGGAGATGGGAAAGGAAGTTAAAAAAAAATTGCCATCGGACTGCATTCCTTCCGTGGTGTAAACGTAATATGAATGATATCAAAAACAGACCGATATCTATGCATTGAACATGGATTGAGACAAAAAAAAGAGATCATTTATTTTAATACCACCCATTCTAAATAGATATCTATATTAATTTCAATCGCGTTATTTATTTTTATATTATCTATTGAATAACCAATATATTTGTTATTGGGCCATTATATAGATTTTGTATGCACAATATATAGGTATTCGTAGGTGTGGGTAACCATAACTGGGAACGCAGTCGGCCTGTACAACCGATAGCTGCTAGTTCAAACCCGTCAGAACTAACCGCGAGAACAATTTTTCAATCTAATATTTACCTTTCCAATTTCCCTTAAAACGGTCGATAGATTTTGAGATTTTTAACAAAACTTGGACTAGTGCAGTTATAATTAATGTTTGTAAATAACCCTGTATATTAAGTTACATTATGTTCTATACAGCTATATATATATTCATTTAAAATACTCATGTCAAATAGCTAAATATGTTTTTTTTTTCAATATATTTTTTTTGACATGCAAAAACCATTTAATATCAGAGAAAACCCGTGACGGTTTCATACATTGACAAATGTATAATAAGGCTTCATTTGTTTAATATTACACTTACAGTCAAATTATAGAAAAATGCAATAATTAACTTGTCCGTTTATAAATACTAGATTTTATTTAAAAAAATAAAATAAAAATAAAGGTAAGGCATCCGTAGTCGTTCATTTAAAGGCACGAATACGCAACAACAAACCAATAAGTCTATTATAAGGCCAATATTTGAATTAAGATGTATGGCAATATTCTGTGTGGTTCTGTTCAGAGAATTAGAAAAAAAAATATGATTTAAAAGAACTTTGATATGAATATATTTAAATAAAGTTAATTTTGAATTTGGAATTACAGAGAATATTTTTAATAAAAAAAGAAATGACGATTTAAAAGTTCTTGTAAACAAATCCATTCGAATAATTTAAATTTAAATAAAATAAATTGCGATGCCCGATAAAACGGTCTTGTCATTGCTATTAATCGTTGTCAGGTTTAAATAAATTACTTGGTTTTATTTGACAGTTGGCAACACCACTTACGATTTATTGTATGAAATTGGTGCTTTACATTTTTGTTTGCTATCAACAACCAATTTGAAATTTATTTTGACAGTTCGGATTGGAAAATGTGAAATAAAATCAACTAATTGAAATTTCCTCGAAACAAACACACACAGAATCTAAATAATGGACGGTAGTGTACAATATAGGCACATCATCAGGCCTGCAGACTGTAAAACTAGATTTACGTCAGCCTAAATGGTTATTTTGTTTATTGTTTACAATTAGCGAATATCCAAAACTATTTTTATTTAAATAAGTTTATTTAAATATTTTTGTATGAAATATAACCCACTACACACTATTTTATTATTGTAAACGGATCATTGTAATCTTAGTACCATACTTATAAAAAAAAATACATTTTATGTAACATTATTATCAGTATTATTGACTACCTACTACCATGAGTTTTCGATTGATTTTTTTATGTGGCAACTCTGTACTCGATTCGAATTTTAGTTCGCAATGTAACCACCAGAGGCGTTATACAAACATCAATAGATCTAAATGTGAAAACTATACGTAAACCCATAATAGACGTAGTAAGTTAAAAACTTTATTACGGTTATAAATTGTTAAGGCAGTTTTTTAGTCTATGATTCATGCAAAAATAAGACTGCCAATATTTTTTTTTTTACAGATTAAAAAATCGCGGTGAAATATTTTAAACATTTTGGTCTGGTACTCGTTAGGATTATTTATAAATATATGTTTTTTTTTTTTTTTTTTATATATATATATATATATATATATATATATATATATATATATATATATATATATATATATATATATATATATATATATATATATATATATATATATATATATATCAATTGCACTAATATAAGGCAATGGGACACGTTACAGTCGCTCACGATGAGGAACTAAAGCACTCTTAATCAATATTCTGAGATCAATAATATCTTTTATTCTGCACGATGTCCCGATTTGGTTAAGTTATCAACGACGACCGACGAAAGTTGGTTATGTATATATTTTCACAATGCAAAATCACTATTTTCTCATACATTTATGTATTACTCAATTTTTTTCCGACTGAAAATTATCGTTTTATTATAACCCAAAATTTTGAAGAGAAACGAATACTTTTTTTTTTATTTATTTTGTTAAAAAAAAAAAAACAACTAGATATATTTTCACTGATGGCACGATTTCCATAACATCAAACCTATACCAAATGACAACGACGATTTTTGTTGTTTTTGTTGTTGTTACTTATTTTTATATATATTTATATATATATATATATATATATATATATATATATATAACGCTTCAACAAAGCTGGTTGTAAAGCGCTAACACAAACGATGTATGCCTCAAAAACAAATAAACTATACTTTTTAGTTACCGCTCTGTCATTTGGTGTAACAAAATGTATATTTAGGTACATTTTCTAAATTGTAAACTTTAAAATAGAGTACACACATATTGATAATTACAATAATATATATATAAAGAACACATACCTATCTTACGGCTACCCAAAAGCCTTGTAGCTCCAGACTTAGCACATTATATACATATACAGAAATAATATAACTTCTGACATGAAAAATTCAACATTACAGTATCAAAATACTCATGAAATATTTAAAAATAAAATTCAATATTTGTATTTTGCTTCATTCTGATTGGAAACTGGAGTTATTTTTCAAAAATCCGTGTATAGAAGAGCAACTTAACAATAATGTTGCCATACTAAATTATTTGTGTTCAACAAATCTTCTCTTAGTTCACATATGGGACATGTGGGCATTTACAATTGTAACACGCTATATTATAATACAAATTGTATGAAGACACCAATATTCCATTATCTTTTTTTTTTGTTAACCGCAAAAAAAACTGTCTTTCCATCAGTAGATTAAAAAGCGCCCTCTATCTCAAGTTTCCACACTCAATAATGTTTTTTTTTTTTTTGTATATAAATATATACACATTAAAAAAGTATAATAGTATTTTTCTATTACAATCACCAATTTTATTTTATTCACACGTGGATCAAGTAAATTAATCAATAATAAAATTCAGCAACGGAGCTACAAAACTGTCTAAAATACGTTAGTCAAAAATCAAAATTGCATTCTTCGTAACTATACTTACTAGTCTATTCTACACATATTTATGTCTATATATGAAAATTACAGTATATTTGTGTGTATGTCCATTAATATCAATTTCCATTGAATAATTTTCTGACAACATTGTGCTTTGTTGTTCGCCTAAAAAAGAGTTTAGTTTTAACTAAATCCGAATATTCAAAAAGCATTATTTACACAAATAATATCGTTTACCTTGTCATAAACATTACGAGTATAATTAATTCTTAATTATGTCTTTATTATTAAACTAATATATTTTTGTAACTTGGACATTAAATTTGAGCAGCATTAACGGGATACAAATGCCGATTCGTATATATTGGGGGTAGTTACAAAAAAAAAAAAAAGATTGCTGTGAATCTAGCAACACTAGAACAGCAGTCGATTATAAACTCTCTGTAGGGAGAGATGAAAAAAAAAGTGGACACTTGACGTTTGAGATTGGATTTGGGTAATACCAGATATTTCGAAGTACAAAAACGGTGGGGTGTGGGCACGTGTAGTGCAGCTAAGAGACAGACGAGATGGCGTTGTGGGGCGAGCCCATCTGCGTGAGCACCTTGTCGAGCCACTGCAGGGGGCCGTGCAGGTGCACCTCGATCCAGCAGGGCGTCGACGTCACGTCCTGCCGGTGGTACTCCGCCCCCCAGCCTTTTACGAACGACATCCGGATCGTGCACATTTTCGTCAACTCGTATACAGCTTCGAAACCGTGGTTAACGCTCTGCGAGAGCAACTGCGCAAATTCCCTATTGTTGAAAATCTTTAAGGAGCACCCCGGTGGGATCTTACACACGGTGGACGGGTGGAAGCCGTGGTGGTGGTTGCAGTTGCGGCTCTGCACGAATATGGCCGCGTCAGATAGACACTCCGCGTACACTTCCCCCCCTACGTAGTACAGGTGGACCCCCCTCCCTATATGGCGTCTTGTATTCTCTATGGTGGAATTTCTGTTCACGTTGCTCAGCTGACCCAGGCAGAACCTGTCACTGTTATTCGAGGGGTTAGTGAACCCGTCCACCACTACCGAATGGGTGTTACAGTGGAACACTTCGCCAACCCTGCAGTTCAGCTCGTAATACGCTACTGACGCCCAATAAAGAGGTTCTTGGTAAGAAACTGGGGCGACCTCGCCAGGGGGTTCGGTGTCGTCCGAGGGAGGAGAATACGCGGGCGGGGGAGTGTCAGGTAACTCTGAACTGGCAGAAGGAGGGAAGCCTGAGCCCGAATACGAAACATTATGAGGCATGGATGGCTCGGTCGTCCTTTGGAAGGGTAGGAGCGAATGGCCGGGGGCGAACTCGGAATGTCTCGGCACCAGTACTGGGGGTAAGACGGGGCTCTCAACTCTCTTGTAATGATAAGGGTTTATGCATACTTCTTTCTGTTTCGCGCTGAATGGATACTGGCAGATCTCGAGGGGTTTCAACTCGTGATGGCTCTGGAGATCTGGCCAGCGCCACACGCGGCAGTATATTACGTGAGGGAGACCTTTGCGATGAGATACCTGCAATGAAATAAGATTCTTACGATAATTGCCGGAAACAAAAATAAAAAAAACGCATAATACGTGGTCATTTCTTTCGAGATGATGGATCGAATTGTTTTCTTTTTTTTTTATTTTGGTCCAAATAGTCATTACAAAAAAAGAATATAGTTAAATTTTTTTTTTTATACAATATTCAACCCGAAAATTCGTTGTCTATTTTTAATCCAAAGATAAATAAATCAGTTTCATACAGACTTGTTTCTCTGAGTATTCCATGACGTCTATGAGGCTGTAGATGTCTATAGGCGTCTGTTATCGCTTTCTATAGTGTGGGCTGTTAGCTTGTTCGCCATTCTAAATTATAATAAAAAAAAAATACAGAGAGAACAAAAGACTATTCAAAGGTTGTCTGTAAGAGATTGCCCTAGCGATAAGACCGCCTTTTGTACCTTTTGATGTATATATTTTAATCAGTAATGTATTTTACTGTATTTCACTTGAGTTGTTCAATTTTCATTGTATATTTTTATGCATCTGGTACAATAAAGAGTAAAATAAAATAAATACATAAAATAAAGCCGTTACATCCCTCATTCGATATCCGAGTTAAAACAATAGAATATATTGATATGGTAACCGTGGAAAATGGTAACCGTCCCCTATAGACATGAGCAGTAACATGGACATAACAGAGAATACTGTTTCGCCCATGATACCCCCCATGCATTGCCATTCCTGAGGACCAGGTGTTATTTCTCTGTACCTTGTAAATTGCATTGCAAAAAAAAAATGCAAACACAACTGCTTCACGGTAGAAACACGAATGGAACAGAGGTGTTCAACAAGCAAACGACTTTTATACAAAGTCTCTCTCTCTGGTAAGTATAGATAGACAGATACTCTTTATTGTTTCCTCCATAAGATTACAACAGTAAACTTATTATAGAGACAAACATATACAAGAAATAATCATATTGAGGAAATAACATATTTTTTTATTATTTGTTCATTTCATTAATATCTTTTATTTATATACCACTTAATAAATAATTTATTCCATTTTAATGTTTCTCAAACACAAAACATGCTTTTTTTTATACCACTGAGGTGGCAAACAAGCATACGGCCCACCTGATGGTAAGCGGTTACCGTAGCCTACGAACGCCTGCAATACCAGAGGTATTACGCGCGCGTTGCCGACCCTGAAGAAACCTCTTTAACCCCCTTTTGAAGAACCCCATGCTGTAGTCTCTTGGGAAAACCTCGGCAGGGAGCTCATTCCACAACCTGAGTGTTCGTGGGAGGAAACATCTCTGAAACCGCGCAGTACGCGACCATTGAGGTTGTAGCTGTGGTTACTTCTAAATGTAAGAACAGTTAGACCTAAATCCACTAGTGTATTGTATTGAAATGCTTCGCTGTATCTTATATTGGTAATCCTATAAATAAATAGCAGTCCACAGTATTTCTTAATATGATAAAATGCAATAATTAGAAAAAAAAAACATCTATTTATGAATAAAATATAATGAATAATCACTAATACAAACACGTTAGGCTCACAATAACAACATATACACCGCATAAACAAACAGATAATAGACTTGTTCTTAGGGGGGGAAAGGGATTGTTAGTGATGGAGATTGAGAATCCCATTACACACAATATACCCAATTCACCAGGCATTTTCGACTTTCGCGGTTTTTTACAATTGAAACTATCATTTTTAATTCCTGATGAATTCATCATGATGTGCTAACTGGCCACCCCTTCCTTTTCCATGTTTTCATTCTCATCTATCACCCTTTCTTTTCACCTGGTGCTCCGCCAGCGTATCTCGACTGGCGCAGGCAATGGGGTTACCATACCATTTTCACCCATCAAAAAAAAAAAAAAAAAATAGACTTGTTCTATTTATACACATAGCAGGAAGTCTCTAGCGCCATTCTGCCTGTGCGCCTGCGTCGATCCGTTACACACAAGAACCGTTACATGAAAATTCACGATTTCCTTTACTGATTTGCATTTTAATAACGACTTCCATTGGATTTTTTTACAATTGAAAAGAAAAATAGATTTTTAGATTGAAATAATTGTTAACAAAATATCAAATGCAGTGTGGTCCTGGCATAGAATGAGCCACCCCTTCCTTTTCCATCAGTATTGATAAAGTTGATAGTGTGGTCATAGTACAAAATAGGCCACCACTTTCTTTCCAATCAGTGTTGTAAGATTAGATTAGGGAAACTTGATGGTCAAGAGACGAGCAGCAGTGTCCGCCTTTAAACATCACCAAAAGCCTAACTTCGACTGGCAGGGGGGAAAAGGGATTGTTAGCAATGGAGTTTGACAGCCCCATTGCTAGCAATATGCCTCATTAGGTCGACCTCCATGTGGTTCCCCCTGGAAACTATCGTGAACAATTCTTGTTGAATTCGTCACGATGGGCTCGCGTCACGGTAGCGCGGGTGGGGTTGCCATTCCATTATCATACATTAAAAAAAAAACTTCGACTGGCAGTCCGCCTGCCAAACGTGGCAACTACTGGCAAAACTCCCCCTATGGAGAGGCCTATGTTCAGCAGTGAACAATTAACGACAGATATGATGATAATTAAAAATTATACAAAATTAAATCATTTAGTTCCCATTTTTGGTATCATATTATTTCTTTTATGATTGAAGACGACATTTTCCTTTGCAAAACAAAAAAGCTATTGCAAAACACAAGCGCTTTATACACTCATAATTCCACGTTCTAAATTCAAGTCTCAATTGAATGTGTTTGTGAAGATAAATGTTGGGAAATCCATACATACATAACATTTAACAACAACATATGTTTTTTTTTTTGTAGAATTTAGAATGGCAAACAAGCTGACGGCCCACCTGATGGAAAGTGGTAACCGTCGCCTATAGACATGAGCAGTAGCATGGACATAACATAGTATACTGTTTCGCCCATGATATCTCCCATGCGTTGCCATTCATGAAGACTCAGGTGTTACTCCTCTGTACCCAGTAAATTCACGCAATATCCCACCCTTCAAACTGAAACACAGCCATGCAAACACAACTGCTTCACGGTTGAAACACGAATGGGACAGAAGTACCCAAGCAATCGACTTTTGTACAAAGTCTCCCTCTGGTAATCATCCATATCAATATGACAAATTTAAATAATTAATAATTTAATTATATCTTCCAAATAATTATACATTTAGAAGGTTTTATTACCACTACCTCTTATATTTATATGTGAATATGTACTGATACGTAATTTTTGTTAATGTATATGAGATGTAAATATCACGTTCACGCCGGCGCGGGCCACCGGTGGCCCGCGCTAGACTGTCTCATTGGACGATACGTACCACCGGTGGTACGCACTAGTTTGTCTTATCTGGCGGCGCGTACCACCGGTGGCCAGCACTAGACTGTCTCATTGGACGATACGTACCACCGGTGGTACGCACTAGTTTGTCTTATCTGGCGGCGCGTACCACCGGTGGCCAGCACTAGACTGTCTCATTGGACGATACGTACCACCGGTGGTACGCACTAGTTTGTCTTATCTGGCGGCGAGTACCACCGGTGGCCCGCACTAGACTGTCTTTTCTGACGGCGCGTACCACCGGTGGTATTCGATTGTGCTATTAGCATCAATTAGAGCGCCGCCACGCAGCAAAAAAACATTAAAGTCGGCCCCGGCGTGAACGTGATATATATGGAATAAAATATGTGTGTACAGATGTGTATATGTCTAAGTTGATTATGTATCTAAAGTTTATATATTAGTTAATAAGTTAAGTGTCGTATTAACACGAAATAAGAAAAATTCATGCGCCATTTTAACTTAAATAAATATAATGTTGGTCTTATTCAATCTATGTTAGCTGAACATAAACCAGAAATTTTCGAACATCACTCTAAATTATCGATGCCCATTCATTCTTCTCTTTCCGCGTCTAACGAAAGTAGATAAAGCTTTATTTGAGAAATCAGTTCAGGGTACGATAGGGCTAATATACCTGAAGAAGGTAAAAAAATAATAATAAAAATAAAAAAAAAAGATTTGTAAGCAAAAAAGGGTACATGACTTCACGACACAGGTAATCCTAACGTGAAATCTTGGGAACAAATGTAAAATTGTAACATGAATTTTTGATTTTTTATTATGTCTAAATAAAATACATATTAGTTTACCTGTAACCTCCCGTCCAGTGACCTGGGTATGGTGACGCATTTCGACGGTGTGCCGGGACACGAGAGTGCCCGCTCCAACTCCTCGATGGCGCCCTTCCGTTTCTTCAGCTTCTTCACTAGGCTGTCCACTGCTTTCTCTGCCCATTTCTCTTCTTCATCACCCTGTAAAGTAATTTATTGTTTAAGTATTATTCTCCAATAAGCCGACTTCAAATAGATTAGTAGTATAAAGTAAAACTAAAAAAAAAATGATTGAATTAGGACTGATGTAAAATGGGCTAGATTCTAGCGTATTAAATGATATTGTTGGCCGTGTGGTCCCGGCATAGAATAGGCCACCCCTTCCTTTCCCATGGGTGGTGTAGAAACGACTATAGACTGCGAGGAATGGAAATGAGATGGTCCCTCTTAAAACATCTCTAAAGCCTAACTGCGGTTACCAATCCGCCTGCCAAGCGTGGCAACTACTGGCAAAACCCTTCAAGGGAGAGGTTTATGTTCAGCAGTGGACAGTTAAAGGATGATATGATGATGACAGGATGTTTATGTCTTAATTTTATGGTACTATTTGTATTTGCATGGTTATGGAGGAGCGTGACCTTCTAATACAGGTGATAACACTTACTAGAAGGTCACAACAACGATCTTAATATTGTATCAATTTTGTTACGAAATAAATATTTTTTCATTTTTTCATACTAGCCTCTAGAATATTTAATATACTCGTTGATACATAAAAAAAAAAAAACATGTCAACTCCTTCCACTATTATAATAGACATATATGACTATGTTTTGTTTCTAAGTTTTATTTTTAAACGACTTTGTAAAAGGATTTGCCAAACTCGTGATGATCAAACTTGCGACCACCGAAAGTTGATGCCGTATTTTTTTTTAATGGGTGAAAATGAAATGGTAACCCCGTCTGCGCTAACGGTATACACTGGCGGGGACCAAACGACAGAAGATAGGTGACTAATACTATAAGAATTAACCACGATGTTTTCTAGGGGGAACAGCGTGAAGGTCGACCTGATAGAGTATATTGCTAGGAACAGAACTGTTAAACCCCATTACTAATAATCTCTTTTCCCCTACGACGCTGTGTATTAAACCGCTATACCTATCACCAAACTTACAGTTTTTGACAAAATTTACAATATACAAAATATATATATATATATATATATATATATATATATATAATGAGTAGGGATATATGTATATTTACATTATAACATGTATCACATCTCCATATTTAGAAATAATAGAATTTCACCATGCCATCGATCAAACTGTTTATAATTACTCCTCTCCATCCAAAGGTTGCCTAGAAGAGATCGCTCTTAGTGATAAGGTCGCCCATTGTTTTCTCATTGTGATTATTTCTTGTAATTGTTTATATTTATAATAAGTTTACTATTGTAATCTTTTGGAAGAAACAATAAAGAGTATCTATCTATCTATCTATATAATACATTTATACGGATGTTAATAAATATTATACTACATGCAATAGTAAAGTTGTTTATCCGAAAATCTATATCACAAACGTGCAGCCACAACTTCCACGTTGAATGAGATATTTTTATACCTATAGTAGGTTTGTTATTTGCTCGTGAGTCAGTTATGTATTTCTCGGAATGCTGATTCATAAAAAAAAATTTGTTTACTACGTCAGACGTGGGCCATGTGCCGATTTAAAAATCATTTGAAACGGTTTTCTAGGTTTCATTGAAGGCAGAAATTATACTTTATCCATTTTAAAAGATAAGTACAATCTTATTTTTATAATTTTGGAGAATGACAAGCATTGTTAGCAATAAAAGCACATACATGTTTATAATTACTCCTCTCCATCCAAAGGTTGCCTGGAAGAGATCGCTCTTAGCGATAAGGTCGCCCATTGTTTTCTCATTGTGATTATTTCTTGTAATTATTTATATTTATAATAAGTTTACTATTGTAATCTTTTGGAGGAAACGATAGAGTCTCTATCTATCTATATGTCATCGAGGTCCCATCTGGTAACCCAGAGAAATCATCGGGATTAAAATCCGTGTCTAATTAAATATTACATAAAGGCATATTAAGGGACAGAAGGTGGCTGAACCACCCCAAGATGTGAGCGAAGCTTCACAAAGACGTGTCTAAGAATATACATAAACGTTTTTTAAGCCTCTACCCTAAAATAATCCGTTTTTTACGCCACTAACAAAGCAAATTGCCCGTCTGATGGTAAACGGTCACCGTAGCCTATGGACGCCTGCAATATTAAATATGCCAATGACCGTATATTATATCTATGTACTCCATGTATAAGGGGGAAAGGGATTGTTAGTAATGGAGACTAAGAATCCCATTGCTAGCAATATACCCAACCAGGTCAACCTCCTCGCGGTTCCCCCTGGAAACCATCATGGTTAATTCCTGATGAATTCATAATGATGGGCTAACTGGCCTGTTTTCATTCTCATCTATCACCCTTCACTGGTGCTCAGCCAGCGTATCCCGTTAGCGTTTCATCCCATTCCATTTTCACCCATAAAAAAAACCATATAGAACCCACTGAAGACTGGTATCCTTGTTCTATGAGTTTTGCAAAAATATCCATTATCTGTAACGTAAAATTCAAGTTTGCGGGACCAGCTCACACTTGACGTATTTTTTTTTTCTCTCGTGAGTTATATCAACAAGTAATTGATTGAGATTGCTTTAGCGATAAGACCGTCTTGTACTTTCAATTGCTGGTAATCTTTTCCTTTTTCCTTGTAAATTTTTTTTGTCAACACGAGTGCTATAGTTTTAGTAAATAATAATATAATCTACTAGCTGCATCCTGCGGTTTTGCCCACATTAAATGTGTTCCGTTAGGATAAGACCCATCTAACTGTATACCAAATTTTATTTTTGTTGCCAGGATAAAAATCAGTATGTTTGGTAAGTACATAATTGTATTTTCTTCAGACCAATTGAATTAATTTAAAAAAATCCCATTTTAAATTTTATCGTGATGATAACTAGATACCAGTCAACACTTCTTATAATATAGTACAGCTATGTGGAATAAACCCTAGGTTCCCTATATTCTCCCCAGGCCTCTACAAATGGGAAGCTAGGGATCTGGCAAATGCACTTCGAGGTATGTTGTAAGGTTTTTAGTGGTTAAGAGTCCCCACACACCCCTTCTGTCCTCTCTGCGGCAATTAGGACGATCTTTTGAAGATTTTCCACACTTTATAAAAAAAAGTTTCCTATATCCAGCTCGAAATTTTATATAAAATGGGCACACCACCTCACCATATGGTATGGTATAAACACTAATCTAATTATAGATACAACCGTTTATGGGAAAAAAAAATGACATCCACAACAATTGCATTCTTGACGCATAGTTCAGTTGTTTGTCCCATCAATCATCATCATTACTGACATCCAGAGATCTAGATTATTCTACGACTACAGTCAGCAACAAAAGTTAATCTATAAACCACTTATACTTTTCAATAGGAGAAATCAAATAATCTTTATAGATTTAAAAATAATTTTTGAAATAACCAGAGGTTGTCTGTAAAATTGTCCTAGCGATAAGACCACCTTTTGTACCTTTATGTTTATATTTTGATCTGTACTTTATGATAATGTATTTTACCTGTATTTTACCTGACTAATTGTAATTGTATATTTTTGTTTTTTTTTTTTTATAACAGAGGCCAAACAAGCGTGCTGCTCACCCAATTGTAACTACCAACCATCAAACATGAATACACGTAACACCAGAGACATTATAGATGTCCTGCTGGCCTTTAAGAAAGAAACATGACAGCCTTTTGTACCTATTATATATCAAATTAATTTGTTTTTTTTTTTATTGTGAATGGGGTATTACAACTGATGATTAGGTTATCTGTTAGTATCCTACATAATAATAGCTTTTTCCATAAAAAGTTATAACAGTGAGGGTGGTTCTAGAAAAACACTTACACATTGAATTATTGATATACAACAGTACCTTTATATGTATATTTTAATTGTTTATATGACATTGTTTATGTTTTTGGTGCAATAAAGAGAAGAGAGAATAAATAAATAAATATGCTCTTTTCTTGAAGGTCGAGAAAACGATGTCATATCAGTGCAATAAATAGTAAATAAATAAATAAATTCTAAAATGTTGTTTAAATTTTAAAACAGTATTTTATGTGACATTTTTGTCAGTGTCCAGTTTAAATTTCCCGCCATTTTAAGACAAAAGATGTTAACTACTGTAATATGAAAGTTGTCTAATTTTTTTTAGAACACAAAAGGCAAAGGAGCATGCGGCGCACCTGATGGTAAGTGACTATTGCCGTCCATGACAATAGGCAATGGTTTCCATCACATTGGTCGTCACTTTGTTTGCCGTTCTATGACGCATAAAAAAAAAATGTACTCTGTTCCACAAAATATTTAAAGTAAATAACCAATTCAATTATATTGTTTTATATTTTTTACAAGAATAATTTAGATATTTTTTTTTTTTCTTAATTCAATTTTGTTGTTATATATATTTAAGATAAAATATCTAATTGTATTATTTATATTAAAACTATTCCTGTTAAAACAATTAATATAGTTCCTATAATCAGTATTCAAGTTTGTTTACATACTTGTTTATAGAGAATAAAGAATTATTTATATTACTGCCACAGATATAGATTTATATAGTCATGCATTTGTAAATAATATGTCCTTTTATTAATTTTGGGAATTAAAAAAAATATATAAAACAGGTACAAGAGTCTATTTTATTCATTCATTCAAAAAATTAGGGTTCCCAAGAAAAAAAAAGAAGAAAGTATTTAAAAATTGTGATGTTGTGGGATCCCCTAATTTGGTCCCGTCTGTTTGGGGATTTGAGTTTATTTGTTACAACATGACATGTTAACATTTCAACCAAGATTTATAAAACTTGATATACACAGGTATTGAGACAAATGGACAGTTTAGTTAGTCAGTACTTGGAATAAATGAATATTGTTATTTCTATTTATCATCATCATTCCAGCCATTATCTGTTCACTGCTGGACATAAGCCTCCCCCATAAACCGCCACAAGAAAGGGTCCCGAGCCACTTGCATCCACTGAATCCTTGCAAGCCATTTGAGGATGTCACTCCATCTAGTGGAGGGTCATCCTACATTTATTATTATTATAACTGGATATATTATTATAACTGGATATATTATTATAACTATTACTTATCCTGGCCAATCAACACATTCTCTTCAAATTATGCAGCCAGCCCATTGCCATTAAAGAATAATTGTTCACGGGATCAACATCTCATCCTAATGGGATACAAATGCCCACAATTTTTTTTCTTGTTAAACTTTTGCATGCCTGGCTTTGAAGCAGTTACCATTTTTTTTTATACAACTTAGAAGGGCAAGCAAGCTGACGGCCCACCTGATGGAAAGTGGTAACCGTCGCCTATAGACATGAGCAGTACCATGGACATAACAGAGTATACTGTTTAACCCATGATACCCCCCATGCATTGCCATTCCTGAGGACTCAGGTGTTATTCATCTGTACCCTGTAAATTCACTCCATATTCCACCCTTCAAACCGAAACACAGCTATGCAAACACAACTGCTTCACGATTGAAACATACACCATATCCACAATCCCTGATCAATATAATAACTTTACTTTGTTTTTAATATTTTTGATTATAACATTTTTGTTTTTTTTTTTAATTACTTATTATAAATAGTTTTATTTTCAAATTTTGTTCTATGCCAGGTATGTCTCTATTTTATTGTGTTAATATAACAGGCAGTTGAATAAATAGAAAAACAAACATAAACACAGGTTCTTTGTCAGACAATTACAGTAGGGGTGGTACAGGGATAAAAAAAAATATAAGAGAAATATAAAGGTTAAACCTAATACTAACACTTTTTGTGATATGGTTTAATACATGGGAAGCAGGTGTGAGATATTATAAATATATTTCAGTATACATTCCAAAACACAAAGAGTAAAGATAAATATATAAATAATATCATTCTCTATAATCTTTGCCATTATATCAGAATAATACTACAAATATAACAGATTACAATTTACTGATAACTTATTTCTTCAAGGTAAACATACCTATTCTGTTTTTATTTGGAGGTTGTTTATCTACAAAATAGTTTAAAAGATAGAACTAACCTGTTTCCACCCCAGCAATTTTTTAACAGCCGGACTTGTGAACGAAAAAAGGCTGTTCAGGCTGGACATTGGCCCACTGCTGGAAGATTCGCCATCATCCGTGTCCATGGTTACAGATTCTCCGTATGAGTCACCAGTACCGCGGGAACCAGCACCCCGCCAAATGTCGCGGAAATCCTCAATTGGCCATCGATCACAACCAACACTTGGTATTCCCCACGACGACCACTACCTAATTACGACTGCAAACTAGCTATTAGCGTGACACAAGCGTCCATCCGCTTTGCAAATACAAAGTGACCATTAAAACAGTACGATAAAGAACGATACACAATTTTTTTATATCAATTTCACGAATAGATTGTATTGGTTACTTTGCAATGCAAATATTTTTTTGCGGTTGATGGACAGAAAAATTGTTGAATTAGGTCTATAAAATAAAATGAAATAAAACACTTGTCAAATTACACAGCACTCAAAGACAAAACGACAAAAGATGAAGAATTTAGACAGATTATAAATGATTGGAGTTGCCATAGAATAAAAATATATGAATTTATAATGCAAAGAAGTAAAAAACATAGTAACCCGTATGTTAAAGTGAGATAGATAAACAAGAAAGTCCACGTACACTGTATAAATTCCAAAAGATTAGACGGAATTACAAAAAATATTTTCTAATTAATATTGTTTTTATTATTCCCAAAGAGGGTTGACATCAAACAGGCGGCCGGTCGTAAAACTATAAACCAAATTCTTTAATAATATGGTTAAAACCATATTACGCCGACCCCAAATAATAATTGAAATAAGGATAGGAAGATGATGATTGTTTTATACTCACATCACGGTAGTTTACAATGTTGTACATTTCATGAATGAGATATTTGTTATCGCTATATATTAGGAAATCAACCGTAAATAACTCGTGCATAAAATGTACACAATTCTAAATATTATAGAATTTTTAAATATAATTAAAGTTTAAATGCATGTACTTGATTAGAACAAAACGCGTGCAACGATTGAATATAACGTAGGAAAAAAAAAAACAAAAAAATATAAATTTTCTCTCTAAATATAATATTAGATATAATATAAGAGACTACAGCATAAGGTTTTTCAAAAGGGGGGTAAAGAGGTTTTTTCAGGGTCGGCAACGCGCGCGTATTGCAGACGTTCATAGGCTACGGTAACCACTTACCATCAAGTGGGCCATACCACTCGATAGGTACCATACGAGAAGCAAGATTTAGTAATAGTACATTATTAACTAAACCTATAGAAGATATCAATATAATATAGCTTAATTTGTAATGCATTTCTCCGAAAACACCATCTCCCTTATCATTTTTGTATAAAAATATTTATTTACTTTGCATATATACATCTATGTAGAACTAAGTTTTATTTTATTCGTAGATAGTTCAAAAGTTTAAAACTATTAACTGTTAAATATTATTATAAGTTATATATATCTGTCAACAAATTACATAAAACGGAACGTACCGACTTAAAAAAAAATCGCGTTTTTCGACGAGAAATTTCTCGAATTTGAATTGTCATTTCTAGATTCTAGATTCACATCACAGTTGTCTGCAGTAAAGTGAAATCACTTCTTAAAAGAGATATCACGGCAAATAAATATAGAAGCGAGTAGAAATTCAGTTAATATTTATTTTAATAAAGTGTGTGATTATATTGTACTTAATAAAAAATAGTGAATCATGGAACTGGTAAGAGGTTATACCGACGCTACTTTAACAAAAGATATTTGTTTGAATTAGTCAATTGTGAGTTTAACATTGTCTTTTAGGTAAACCAGTTAAAGGAGAAAGGTAACGCAGCATTGTCGTCTGGGAATTTCACGGAAGCAGTGAAGTGTTATACGGAAGCGATAGCATTAGATCCTTCAAACCACGTTTTGTATAGTAATCGTTCAGCCGCACACGCAAAGGCCGGAAACTATATAGCCGCACTTGAAGATGCCAATAAAACAGTGTCCTTAAACCCTACATGGAGTAAAGGTTATTCAAGAAAGGGTAGTACTTTGGCATATTTAGGTAGATATGATGAGGCAATAGCAGCTTATGAAAAAGGCTTAGAACTCGAGCCAAACAATCAGCAGTTAGCCTCGGGATTGGCTGAAGTGAGAAAACAAGCAGAAGAAGAAAAATTTAATTCACAGGCATTTTTAGAGAAGTTAAGGGCCAATCCACAGACAAGAGAGTGGATGAATGATCCAGAATATTTGACTATGGTTCAGGTAAGTAGTTGTTTATATTTAAAAAATAGGTCACTGGAACTTTTTTAATAATAAAATAGTATAATAATTTTAATAATAATGGCTAAATTGAGAACTCAGACTAGTTAATTTTTTTTTTTATGAAACATGGAAAGAGTAACTACTTAGTGGTCTATAGCTTAAGATATGAACAGTTTATAAACCAACTTAATTAAGTAGTACTGACATTGCAAAGGTCAATGCTTAAGTGCATTACTATATAATTTATGTTATTATTGTTGAATCACTTGTATTAGCTATATTCTGTGGCTGTACCCATACATCCATTCTTTCATATTTATCTATTCTCTACATAGTATTAAAAAAAATGCATCCCACAATCTATACACTTAAGCTTTTAAATCATGCAACTGATTTTAATATGGTTTTCATAAAGTGATTCAAGAGGCAGGTTTATACATATAGTTTAATATTGTTAAAGTTGATTGAGAGCTTTCATCACAAATACCAAAATATAACGAAATAATGTATGTAAATGTAAATAATTCTTCCTCTTTATTAGGATTACAAAAAAATTTCAGTGGAGATTTTCTATATTTCGATGTTTAAAAAAATTATATAAATTATATGGAACTTGGAAAATCATTTAGAGGATATAGTAGTAATACTAATAATCACTCTATAATGACATTAAATTGCACTAATGTGAATCTGGGGTGGATCCCTAGTCTACACTAATATTATAAAGAAGAAAGATTTGTATTTTTGTGTGTATGTATGTTTATAATGAATAAACTCCAAAACTTCTTTGCCGATTTCAAAAATTCTTTCACCATTAGAAAACTACATTCACTCTGAGTAACATAGGCTATATTTATTGCTGGAAACGATTAAGCATTCTTACTGAAACTTTAGTAACGTAACTCAAAATATAAAAAATAAAAATGCTATAAAAATCTTTCGTCCAGTGCGCTGCGAAAACTATTGGTGATAGAACAAAAGTATGTTCTACAATATTGAAGAAAATATCAATAACTACAAAAAACTTCGCGATACTATATGTCCAATTATTATCCTTATGTCACAATAACTACTTATTAAAATCTTGTAAAAATGTCCACCTGTGGGAAGCAGAAGCTGGGACCAGCTGCTAGTCAATAATAAGAGTAAAGGAAATTACTATGACTCATCACCCTAATAAAAAAAATTATAACATCTATTATATATATATATATATATATATATATATATATATATATATATATATATATATATATATATTTTTTTTTAATGATTTTATTTTATTTAACATGTATTATGAATTCTGTAATTACCATTATAAATTAATGTAACAGGAACTCGCCCAAAATCCGTTTGATATTCAAAAGTTTGAGTCACAAATGGATAGTAAAAAGTTACGTACCACTATCGGAGTTATGCTTGGGCTCAACCTTACCACGCCCATGGACGTAGACCCTCCAGCACCACAAAATAAACCAGCCGCACCAAAGAAGGAGGAGCCCCCGAAACCGAAATATGAAGACTTACCAGAGAATCGTAGATTAGCATTACAAGAGAAAGACCAAGGAAATGAGTTTTATAAGAAAAAAGAATTTGAGAATGCATTGGAACATTACTTTAAGGCGATAGAACACGATCCCACAGATATAACGTTTTACACTAACATTGCTGCAGTTTATTTTGAACAAAAAGAGTACGAGAAATGTATTAAGGAATGTGAGAAAGCCATCGAAATTGGTAGAGAGAACAGAGCGGACTTTAAATTAATAGCCAAAGCTTTCACTAGGATTGGTGAGTTGAAATTTTGTTTTTTTATGTATCTTTTTTATTAATGAAATGGAATGGTAACCCTACTTACTGTTGTTTTTGTGCTTTGTGTATTTAGTGAGCAATCTTAGCAATTTATTTAAAGGAACACCAACAGCATATTGCATTATAACACATTATTATTATTATAGCTTTTTATCCACTTCAGTGGTCCCCAAGGGTAAAAGCCTCCTCCATCTTTTTCCACTTCTCCTTATCTATAGCAATACTTGTCCAGTTTTTTCTTGCTGTCTTTATTATGTCATCTGCCCATCTCTTTCTTTGCCTTCCAACATTTTCTTTTCCTATAACAAACATTAAATACAATACAATATTAATGCATATGCCTATTAAAGGTATTCACAGCATTTGCTTTAACATAATCATACAGTATGAAATGAAGTAAATAATTTTAAGGAATTAAATAACACTAGACTACAAATATTTTAAAAGTTACATTATTAGTTATGGAAATATACATGTAACCTGAGTTGTGAGCAATATCAGTAAATACGATTATAAGTTTTTTTTTTTATACAACTTAGAATGGCAAACAAACTGACGGCCCACCTGATGGAAAGTGGTAACCGTCGCCTATAGACATGAGCAGTACCATGGACATAACAGAGTATTCTGTTTCGCCCATAATACCCCCCATGCGTTTCCATTCCTGAGGACTCAGGTGTTATTCCTCTATACCCTGTAAATTCACGCCATATCCCACCCTTCAAACTGAAACACAGTCATGCAAACATATACTGCTTTACGGTTGAAACACGAATGGGGCAGAGGTACCCAAGCAATCGACTTTTGTACAAAGTCTCCCTCTGGTGAATTAAATTAACAAATATTAAAAAATAATTATATATTATTATAATTAGAGTTACTTATTATTAGATTATTGAACAAATAGTTTAAGCATTCATTCTTTTTTATATGATTATTTCTTTAAGACATAACCAAGATGACTAATTATGGAAAGTATAAAAAGAGCAGATTTTAAAATCTATGTTAACGTCATAAAGGGAAAGCTTTTGTATGTTCAAACATGTAATATATAAAAACTTTTTTTTTAACATATAGTAAGCTACATTATCAGTAACATAGGCTAGTATATTATTTTCTATCTATTCATGTTAAGTCTGTGCCAGTTGAGTCCATCATTTTTAAATTAAAATAATATAAACTTAATTAATATCGAGTAAAAAGACACATAATTTAATTATTCTAGGTAATGCTTACAAAAAGATGGAACAATGGAAACTCGCGAAAACATATTATGAAAAGTCCATGTCTGAGCACCGAACTCCAGAAATCAAGACACTGCTTAGCGAAGTGGAGAAGAAGATAGTGGAAGAAGAGAAGAAAGCTTACGTGGATCCTGTTAAAGCAGAACAAGAGAAAGAATTAGGCAATGATTACTTTAAAAAAGGTTAGTGTACATTATTTATTTGACCTTTATGGTTTTTTTTTCATGGATGATAATGGAATGGTGACCCCGCCTTCCTAACAATATACCGTGGCTGGCGGGCCACCAGTGAAGGATTTAGCCCATCGTGATGAATACACTTGGAATTCAAACATGAGGACGATGATTTATCGATTTTTTTTGCATACAGATAATTCAAAAATTTTTTTATAGATTTGTTTTAATCTATACAATAAATTTATATATATAATAATTATAGCTGCATATGTAACGGCTCGTTGCCTTTGTCATTCAGGATCCCGGGATTGTATTTTCTAGTTACAGTGTACTTTGTTTTAATGGGTGATAATGGTATGGTAACCCCGCTTGTGCTATCGGTATACACTGGTAGGGCACCAGTGATAGATGACTGTTGAAAATGAAAGCTGGTCAGTTAGCCCATCTTGACGAATTCAACTAGAATTAGCCACGATGGTTTCCAGGGGGAACCACGTGGAGGTCGACCTGACAATATATTGCTAGTAATAGGGCTATTTGATCAGTGGCAGTGTACTGTATCTATGGTGCTATTCTGATCTGTAGGCAATTTTTACCATTTCTTATAGTGAGACAGATATGTAAATGTGAAAAAGACTATTTTCCGCGCTTAGCCTCTCATTTGGGCTGTTGTGCGTATGAGTCGTGGCTAGTACAGCTAACCTAGCTCCGCCCAGAAGCGCAGAAGCTTCCTGGGTTCTTTACAGGCCTCACGGAGCGACCTCACCGTTCCGAGGATTTCTAAACGTTGATGGGCCACAGTCTCACATTCCAGGATTACGTGAGCAGCCGTTTCTTCGGCGTCGAAATCGTCTATGACTCTCTTAAGGTAGTCAAATGCCTCGTCATCTAATTAGTGACGCGCATGAATGGATTTTTTTTTAATGGGAGATAATGGAATGGTAACCCCACCCGCGCTATCGGTATACACCGGCGGGGCACCAGTGAAGGATGATAGGTGAGGATGAAGCAGGCCAGTTAGCCCATCGTGGCGAATTCAACAAGAATTGTTCATGATGGTTTCCAGGGGGAACCACGTGGAGGTCGACCTGACAGGGTATATTGCTAGTAAAAGGGGTTTTTGACCCCATTACTAACAATCCCCCCCCCCCCCCCGCATGAATGGATTCCCACTGTCCCTATCTACTAATAAGTGGGACAGATATTCATATAGATGTTATAAATGTAATTTAAACAATTGTATCCCAATAACTTACAGGCGATTACAGTACAGCGATGAAGCACTATTCAGAGGCCATAAAACGCAACCCAGATGACCCTAAATTGTATTCGAATCGCGCTGCCTGCTACACGAAGCTGGCGGCCTTCGACCTCGGTCTCAAGGACTGCGAGCAGTGTTGCAAGCTGGACCCCAAGTTCATTAAGGGCTGGATCAGAAAGGGCAAGATACTGCAGGTATAAATAGATTTTGTAATATATTCACTTTTTTTTTAAACTTATTTTAGAAATAAGGAAATGTATTTCACTTGAATTATTCACTTGTCATTGTATATTTTTATTTATGGTGCAATAAAGAGTTAATAAATAAATGATTTATTAGAATTGTCTGTATTGTACCTAGTTTTTCAATGATGTTGATATATAAAACTCTTGTGTTGCAATGTTTGTTCGTACTAAACTCTGAAACTATTCAACTGATTTTCATGAAATTTTATAAGTTTTTTTTTTTTTTTGTTATTCCAACATGAGAGATAGGATAATTTTTAATTCCAATAAGATAAATGGACCTAACAGATCACAGTAGAGAGTAAAATGTTTATCACTTTACCTGTGGATTATAGTTTCTGTATAAATATAATTACGTAAATGTTTGTAACTGGTGTGCAGGGCATGCAGCAGCCATCCAAAGCGCTGAGCGCGTACCAAAAGGCCCTGGAGCTTGACCCCAGCAATGCGGAGGCACTGGACGGTTATCGCGCTTGCTCCACGCAGCTTAACTCCAACCCTGAAGAGGTATGTAATAGGTGAAAATTTCCCTACTTATGAATCGTGAATAAGGTGAAGGTTTATGACTATCATGGTATGGTATCATGGGCGAAACAGTACACTCTGTTATGTCCATGGTACTGCTCATGTCTATAGGCGACGGTTACCACTTTCCATCAGGTGGGCCGTCAGCTTGTTTGCCATTCTAAGTCGTATAAAAAAATATATCAAAATGTTTATTATATTATATTTAGGTAGACAAAAACCTTAAAACAATGATAGGGACAATAACGGGCCATTGCCCATTAAACAAATATTTATATACAATAGGAGTCACAGGCAACCCTCTATGTCGAGACTGTTTTGACGAAAAAACGGCTGCTCATGTAATGCTGGAATGTGAAACTGTGGCCCCTCAATGTTTAGAAATCCTCGGAACAGTAAGGTCACTCTGGGAGGCCTGTGAAAATCCCAGGAGACTTCTATGTGTGTTGTGGATGGAGCGTGGAAAACAGGGATGTGTGTACTAGCACACAACTCATGCAGTACGTATAAAAGTTTTTTAAAAATTTTATTTTACAATTATTCAGGTAAATCAAATAAGAGGCTAAGCTTGTGGAAAACAGAGTCCAATTTATATTAGATAGATAGATAGATAATTTATTTGCATTACTTACAGCACACAAATTACAACATATATAGATATACATAAAAAGCGAGATAACATAAATGATTAAAAAGCTAAATACAATTTTTCGTTTGTATGTGTGCCCACAAACGAAAAATTGTATTTAGCTTTTTTAACAATTAAAAAATGGTCACAACTCAGTTTACATTACAAGGTGAAGGTTCACCTGATGTATAATAAAGGAAGATAACTGATGTTACGACTGATGATACAACAGATTTTGTGTTGTCCTGTTGACTACCATATCCCACACCTTTAATACTTGAATGAACCTTTCCACTTAGGTTTGCTGGAAGAGAACTCTTACAGAGTTAAGCTCGCCTATTGTACATCTTTATTTATTTTATATATATATATATGTTGTAATTTTTTGTGTACAATAAAGAATAAAGAAATATGTTAAATTTACATAATCTCTTCTAAACAATGAAAAACTTGATCCTTTAACAGTTTCTCTTTTTACGATAACCTAGCTTTTTATTTACTTATTTAGCCTAAATACAAGTCATGATGTTTTATTAATAATTATTATAATTATGTCTTGTCATATTAATTTTAATTCTTTTATCTCTTTTACTGTGTATTATGTTTATGTTTTTATTGTAATTTGTGTGCTGTAAGTAATGTAAATAAATTATCTATCTATCTATATATTGTTAGATAAATTTATATAAAAATTGTGAAATAAATAATTAACTAATATAGCTATTTATAAATGGTGATTATTCTAGAAGTGGTGAATAACATAATGATTATATCCCTCTATTGGGTAAAGGTGTTTTATCTATTATCACCACACTGGACAGACATTTTTGTCGAAGGGAAACTCGTTTAAAGAGTTTTCATCGAGCGCTAGTGTGTACTGGATTGGCTTATTTAAGATTATTTTCCTGGGAGGGGGAAGGGGGGCTGACACCTTAAAAAAGGCACACAGGTTGATAGATAGATAGACACTTTATTTGAGCCATTTATGACACACTTTATTTATGTACTCTCAAACCTTTGCATATATCTGAAGGCTTCTTATTTTGGGATGCGCAGGAATTGCCCAGGCTCTCTCTATATACGTCTATTTTTGTTTTATTTCTTCAATTGTTCATATAATAAGGATATTGTATGAAACAACTGAAGGAATAAAGTGTATTACATGGAGTAATAGGCTACAATATAACCAAAGAATTCACCCTTTGTTTATGCAATTTAGACTGGCAAACAAGCTCCACCACCACCTGATGGAAAGTGGTAATCGTCACCTATAGACATGAGCAGTATCATGGACATAACAAAATATACTGTTTTGCTCATGATAGCTTCCATGCATTGACATTCCTGAGGACTAAGGTTTTATTCGTTTGTACCCTGTAAATTCACTGCTATCCCAACTTTCAAACTGAAACACAGCCATGCAAACACAACTGCTTCACGGTAGAAACACGTATGGGACAGAGATGCCCATGTAAACGACTTTTGTACAAAGTCTTCCTCTGGTCACCTACTTTAACATCATATTTATTCTAGGTACGCAAGCGCGCAATGGCCGATCCCGAAGTGCAATCTATTCTACGCGACCCGGCCATGCGCTGCATCCTGGAACAGATGCAACAAGATCCCCAGGCGCTCCAAGATCACCTGAAGAATCCAGATATAGCTGCTAAGATACAGAAGCTTCTCGAATCCGGCCTTATCGCCATACACTAGTTTTATGCAGATTCGAATTATGAATAGATTGAATGAATGCGTTGAGATCATTCAGAGAAAAGTAAAAATTTTATTTTCCATTTTATTTTTTATATCTGGCAACATTGTCACAAAATATATACTTTTTAAAATATCGATTGTGTTCTTCCAAGTTCAAAATGCAGGAATTTATTCCAATGTTTTTATTTGAATGATTTCAGTTTTATTATTGATTATTATGTGCTATTTTCTTTGTATGCTGATGTTTTTTTTTTCTCTGATTGACCTCAATTGTTTTTTAGGAATATATGATCGACAGTTTTCGATAAAGCAACTCGTGTATTTGGCGACAATTGTATTTAGTCTCATGTATTCGTGCAAAAAGAATACTTCGGCAAAAACATTTAAAATGTCCAATAATACGTTACATTATATGTCACGGCTTGTCGATCTGTGATTTTAATTTGAAATGGCTTGTATTATAACATTATAGGCTTGAGGACCATTCCAAAGTACGTACGCTTCCCAGTCGAAAATGGATTTATTGTCATTATCAATCAGTCAGTATCAATTGGTGGGCATTCGAATCGTATAGTTTGAATATTTCGGACTGCCATTTAAAATTTACATAACGGTTTTTGTAATTTATTCAATAAATAAATAAATAACGTAGGCAATATTTGTTTTTTTTTTCGGTTCCCTGAATGCTCTTAATGTAGGTACAAGTTATATATTTTTTGCAGCTTATTAATTGCAAAGTGAATCCCACTCGAGGGAAATTGGTAACCGTCACATGTGTGACGGTTACACAATTTAATCCAATTTCACTTGTGTTGCCATTCTTGAGGACTTTTTTTTTTATAGGTGATTATGGAATAGTAACCCCGCCTGCGTTAAGGAATACGCTGGCGGGATACCAGCGAAGGATGATAGGTGACGATGAAAGCAGGTCAGTTAGCCCATCAGTGACGAATTCCACTAGAATTAACCGCGATAATTTCGAGGGGGAACTGTGTGACGGTCGACCTGATAGGGTGTATTACTAGTGATGGGGAAATTAGACCCTATTACCAACAATTCCTTGCACCCCATTCTTGAGGACTAACTTGCGTACAAATCGAAATAACTATGTTCCTGTTTGGTGGCAGAAAAGTGAGTGGTACAGAAAGAGGATAAATAAAAAATGTACTCGTTGGTTTTTGGGTTGGTACCTCATCAGTATATACCGATGGTACGAGAGAGATTATCATTCTATTTATATTCCGTATAAAAGCTGAATATTATTAACCTATTTTTTACGAAAGACTTCTAAAAATGTTGCGTTGGTTTGGTCATTTGGAGAGGATGGATGAAAGAAGAATTACGAAAGAGATTTACCGAGCAAGAATGAATGGAGATGTCGGTAGGGGCCGCCCTAGACGGACGTACGACCAAAAGACGTGCTGAAAACAAATTAAAAGTACCCGTAACCGACGAGCGTGTATGACAAGATTGATGAATGTGGAAGAAGCGAAAGTGGTTTGTTTGAATCGAAGCATTTGGCGTTATTGTTTCTGCCTACCCTAATGGGAGACAGGCGTACAGAATGTATGTATGTACTTCTAAAAACTATGTCCCACACAGGTATGACTGGTACAAAGTGATAAACTTAGTTGGTATTGGTTTAGGGCTTGTTAACAGGTTAATTTTCCCAAAATTATTCGGTGATCCATTCGTGTTATACACAAATGTTGGTGAAAATGGAGATGAGGTCCAGAACGCACTGGTGGAGTGGCAACAAAGTCTAGAGTTTTGGCTTGAAAATCAGAAGAACCAAAACTGATTATAAGGTATTAAGAATTGATGTAGATGGATATAAGTGCAGAGGAAGACATGGATGGACTGTGTAAAAGATAATATGGCCAGAATGGGAGTGAATGCGGAAATTACTGAGAATAGAAAAGAATGTAAGAGGAAAACATATTACGCCGATCACAAATAATAATTGGAATAAGTGTAGGAAGATGATTCGTATTATACATAAAAAAATATTAAAATAATGCAAACAGTTACAAATCCAAATGTTTTTATTGTACGGAATCGAATACGCGATCATAGGAGGTGGTGTTTTTTTAATTACTATAAAAGTCGTCAATGTAAATGTTAACATGATGTCAATCAGCTGTCTTTAGATAAACATTAACAGTCAATGTCAATTATTGCTTCAGTGTTGCCAGAGTAGACATTTTTTGTATATTTGGGTAAAATTTGTAATTTAGAAAAATGTTTGGGAAAAATGAAATAGCTGTAGAGAATTTTTGAGTAGTTAATTTTAGTTTTGGAATTTTTAAGTCCTATATAATAGGACATTATATGTAGGTAGTATCAATACAATGAAAATTCTAGTAATACAATGAAAGTCCTTTGCCAGTTATTGATGATGATTGATGATGATCACTTGGTGAAACGTATTGAAATCAGTCTAATATAACTGGATAAAAATGCAGGAAATACTACCATTTAGAAGAAACATAAAACTTTGACATTTGGGTAGAAATAAAAATCACAACTGGCAAATCCGATTATCGCTGTCAATGTAATGACAAATAGAATAGATGAAAAAAGATTCCAGACAAATTATCTTTTTGAAGACTAGGCAGCATGGTCTCCGACCTTAGCCTGTTCCAAACGGAACAAACGTACTAAAAAAAAAAAAAAAAAGATGAAAAAAGATGACCAAATCACTTTCTTATTTCGTTGTTCCTTCTTGTTGTTGAACGTATAATAATAAAAATGTATTTTGTAAATGTGATATGAATAATCATGTTAATATTGAATGTTTTATATGTTTACCACAATTAAGTGTCTGATATTGATATTTGTGAAATAAACGAATCCTATTAAATCAAGTTTTTTGTTAGTGAAATTCGGAAAGTACACAAATGTAGTAAACTACATGAAACAACAAATTGTTTTTTATTGCTGTGTATAGGTCTGCTTTTTCATATGTAAGTAATATAATATTTTATAAATGGCTGCAGTGGGTGCAGTGTAAACAAAATTATTATATTGTTATTAAATCATTTATACTCTAAACATCTGACCGGTTTCGCAGTTTAAGGCAATTTTGAAGATTTACATTGGTGAGTGGATACCCTTAGGAGATTTGTTTTCTTCATCCAATTAATTGAAAAAATAGATGGAACGAATATGAAAAAAAAAATGCCAGTATTGCCTTTGTTATTATTGCTAATTTTTTTTTCATTGTTGTAAGTGGGATTTTAAAAAGTAAATATTAGGGATCATAAACAGGTAAAACAAGGAACCTATTGCACCTGTTTCTATATCGGTTTAAAAATAATTCCACTGGTCTGTCCCAAAATACTATGTTGCCTTATTGAAACAATGTTTTAGAGCATAGAACAGCTAATAACTTTTTTTTTTTTTATAATAAGTAGAGTATGTTTTGTAGAATATAATAGATAAAGAATAATTGCTATATTTTTCTATCATAGATTAACTCCATATGCTAGATACAAAAAGAGTATGTTCTGTGTTAGATAGGTCAGTTCTCATTGTTTCAATGGAACAGATTTGAGTTGATATTTTTTTTAAACTTGTTGTTTAACTGTTCTAATATAAATACCTCCCCTCTAGTGCATATGTATTCTTTTATATTCAGAGTATATATTGTAACAATTTTAATTGATATTTATACTGTGATTTAAATATAATCAAATATCCAATCAATCCAATCAAATATTGAAACAGTATACTCTGTTATGTCCATGGGCTGTCAGCTTGTTTGCCATTCTAAGTTGTATAAAAAAAATCCAAAACATTTTTACAATCTATTATATTTATAATTTTAAATGTGCAACACCATAAAGGTGATAAATAAATATTCAGCTATTTTATAAAAAAGAATGTTTATTGCTGCTTATAGACAAATGAAAGATAGCTAAAAAAAATTACTTTTGTTTAAAAAAAATTATTAGAATTGTAAATCTAGAAAATTTTAAAAATATTCTCATTAGGGTAGAGTTGAATTGCTCGGAATGCATATTGTGTGAGTATATATAGAGGCTTCTAATATTAAATTCTTCATGAATGTATAGAACATTCATATAAAAATAGTAGGCTCATATTTCCTTACAAAAGTTAGTAATGCAGACTACCTGTCCCATTGCTAGCAATATACCCTGTCAGGTTGACCTCCATGTGGTAACCCTGTAACCATCATGCTGAATCCCTCATGTATTTATTACGGTGAACTAACTGATCTGCCTTATCATTCTCACCTATCATCCCTCACTGGTGTCCCACCAGTGTATACCATTAGCACGGGCAGGGTTGCCATTCCACTATCATTCATTAAGAAAAGAACATTGTTAGTAGATGCATTATGTCTCTTTTTAATTGTCAATCCCTGATTGTTTTTTTTTTGCAAAATGGGTGTAGCTTTAACAATGATTACAAAGTAATAATATTAATTAATAATTATTAATGATTACCAGAGGGAGACTTTGTACAAAAGACGTTTCCTTTCAGTCTCATTTTTGTTTCAACTGTAAAGCAGTTGTGTTTGCATGGCTATGTTTCGATTTGAAGACTGGGTTATGGCGTGAATTTACAGAGTATAGAGGAATAACACCTGAGTCCTCAGGAATGGCAACGCATGGGGGTATCATGGGCGAAACAGTATACTCTGTTATGTCCATGGTACTGCTCATGTGTATAGGCGACGGTTACCACTTTCCATCAGGTAGGCCGTCAGCTTGTTTGTCATTCTAAGTTGTATAAAAAAAAATTATGATTAATAGGGAAGGTCATAGTGTATCAAATGTTGGTAGTCACACATTAATCAAAGCTGAATTATACAAAATAATTTTAATCAACTAACTAATGATATGGACTTCTGCAAAAACACTAAATTCAGTAAAATGGCTAATCATGCATCCTACACTTAGATAACGAAGCGGTGGACCGTAATGAGGATGGTAAATGATCATGTAGGCACGGATTTTAGTGTACAAAAATGTATTCAAAGTGACCAAGCAAGCAAGAAACAGACATTATCAAAAAATACAAAATTGAAATTATACATATTCTTTATTGCACTTGAACAATACGTATAGCGATTTAGTTTTAACAACTCGTTAGCAAGGGAGGGCTCCTCTCTGAAAGATATCTTTTCCAGCCAACCCAGTGTAGTTAGAGAGAAAATAATTAATTGCTGGGTAATCTAGTGCAGGAAAGGTATCCCATTGTCCAGTTTGTGATACCGTCGGTGATGTGCAACATATAGACTAGAGTGTCATATAAACACGAAGGAAAGAGAAGAATTCATGCGCCATTTTAACTTAAATAAATTTAATGTTGGTCTTACTCAATCTATGTTAGCTGAACCCAAATCAGAAATTTTCGAACATCACTGTAAATTATTGATGCCCATTAATTCTTCTCTTTCCGCGTCTAATGAAAGTAGATATAGCTTTATTTGAGAAATCAATTCAGGATACGATGGGACTGATATACCTGAAGAAGGTAAAAGCCCTTAAAAAAATAACAACATTCTAAAAGTAAATATGTATAAAAAAGTATATAATAAAATCTAAAGAGTTTGCAGCAGCCGGTCGGTAATAACTTATAAAGAAAAATACGTTTCCCTTTAGTGGGATTTTAATTGGGATGCTAAGTTATGAACTAAGGTTATGGAATATAAAAATTTTCGCACAAACACTCTTTGGAATCAACTTCCAGCAGCAGTATTTCCGAACCGATACGACATCATAACCTTCAAGAAAAGAGCGTATTCCTTTTTAAAAGGCCGGCAGCACAACTGCAATGCCGTTAGTGTTGTGGGCGATCATGGGCGGCGGTAATCACTTACCATAAGGTGAGCCGAATGCTCGTATGCCGTAAATAATTAATAATTCTTATTAAAATGAAGTCATATTAAATTTTCTTTAATTTTTTTTTTTTTTAATAGATTATAATAGAATGGTAACCCCGCCTTCGCTAACGGTATACGCTGGCGGGGCACCAGTGAGTGATGATAGGTGAGAATGAAAAGGCAGGTCAGTTAGTTCATCGTGACGAATTTTGTTATGTTAACAAGATACCATATCCGTCCAGAAAACCGATACTGAACATCCGGCGTCGTATCTCGCTTACAAATGCGTGGTAGGCATGGGCAGATCGTGTGCACAATATAGTATTATTTTATATAGGGGGAAGGGATTGTAAGCAATGGAGTTTGACAGCCCCATTGCTAGAAATATGCCCTATCAGGTCAACCTCCCCGTGGTTCTCCCTGGAAACCATCGTGAACAATTCACGTTGAATTCGTCGCGATGGACTAACTGAACTGTTTCATCCTCGTCTATCATCCTTCACTGGTGCCCTATCAGCTTATACCGATAGCGCGGATGGGGTTACTATTTCATTATCACCTATAAAAAAAAGTATTATTATATAATGCCTAGGAAAGTCGGATCAAAGTTAAAAAAAAAAACAAACTAAAGTAAACTACTTAAGGAGTAAATTCCATTATCTTTTTGAAACTCACGAACGTAACCTTCGTTCCAATAATACTCTTCAATTATCTTTGCCCTCTCACCGTACTGGTCACGCTTCAAACTCTTTTCTCCTACATTCTTCACGACTCTGGAACGCGCTTCCTGATGCCATTAAGAGACTACCGACTAAACCGTCTTTCAAAAAAAGCGTTCACGCTCACTTTTTATTTTTATCCGAGCAATAAGTGCTTTATATTATTCCCAAATTCGTGTATAATATAGTATATATCATATATGTGTAAGTATATTTGTTATTCATATATATTTATTCGTTTATATATGTAATTTTAGTATGTATGTATATCAATAATTACTAGTACCGCATTCGAGTATTCTGACACTTCCCTATGGTTGACTGGGAGAGAATGCTTTTAGCATTAAGTCCGCCATGTACACATATTTGTACTAATGAATAAATAAATAAATAAATAAAGTTCCATACCAACCGTCTGGATGAGTGGCGGTCCTCCACCGTGCGTTTTTCAACGCACTTTCGTCCACGTACAACCACTTTTTGGAATCCAAAAATTTTTTGGTTCTTCAAAAGGGGGGTAAAGAGGTTTCTTCAGAGTCGGCAACGCACGCGTAGTACCTCTGGTATTGCAGGTGTTCATAGGCTACGGTAACCACTTACCATCAGGTGGGCCGTATGCTTGTTTGCCACCACAGTGGTATAAAAAGAATCCAGCAGTAGTATTTATTTATTTGTTTATTTATTTAAGGAACACCAACAGCCTATTGCATTATAACATGTAGGTATAACAAACATTAAATATAATTTACTTTAACATAGTTATACCGTGCGAGAAAATGAAGTAACAATTATAATGAATTAAATAACACTAAACTACAAATATTTTAAAAGTTGCGTTATTAGTTATAGAAATAAACATGTAACCTAAGTTGTGAGCAATATCAGAAAAAACCGTTTATAAGTGAATTCAATTAAAAAACATCTTTCTTAAAGGTTACGATGTTGTATGGTAACCTTCAAGGAAACAGATCGACTCAGCTTTGATGCTTGTGAAAATGTTTTGTACTATCGTGGAAGAGGAAACGTGTATTTTAAATAAGAATTAGCAATCTAATATTTAATATTGCACTATCGAACTACGCCACAATTTTGTTCCCGAATGTCAATATTTTACTTTTTATATTAATATTGTGCTATTTTAGCAAGGTTGGATAAACTAAAAGCGTATTTACACGCTTTTAGTTTAAACTTTATGTTTTTATTGTATCTACCTGAAAGTGTATCCTTTGAGTTTTTTTTTTTATACAACTTAGAATGGCAAACAAGCTGACGGCCCACCTGATGGAAAGTGGTAACCGCCGCCTATAGACATGAGCAGTACCATGGACATAACACAGTATACTGTTTTGCCCATGATACTTTCCATGCGTTGCCATTCCTGAGCACTCAGGTGTTATTCCTCTGTACCCAGTAAATTCACGCCATAACCCACCCTTCAAACCGAAACACAGCCATGCAAACAAAACTGTTCCATGGTTGAAACACGAATGGGACAGAGGTACCCAAGCAATCGACTTTTGTACAAAGTCTCCCTCTGGTAAATAAAAGAGATAAGAATAATTTACCAAATTGGTTTATAAATAGAGAAATGAAGTCCCGGAATTCCAAATGGCAAAGGCAACGGGCGTAACATATGCAGCTATAATAAATATGTATAAATTTATTGTATAAATTAAAACAAATAATTAAAAATAATTTTTGAATGACCACAGACGCAAATAAAATTATCAATCTTCTACCAAATTGTACTTGTTCATAAAAATTTTTGGTAAAAGGTGCCTTTGTCATTCGAGATCCCGGGATTGTGTTCTCTATTTTTTTTTAATAGGTTAAAACGCAATAGTGTCCCCGCCTGCGTTATCGGTATACACTGCCGGGGCACCAGTGGTAGACGATAGGTGTGGATGACAGTAGGTCAGTAAGCCCACCGTGACGAATTCACAAGAATTAACCACGATGGTTTCCAGGCGGAACCGCGTGGAGGTCGACCTGATAGGGTATATTGCTAGCAATGGGGCTGTTAGACTCCATTACTAACAATCCTTTCCCCTTTGTAACCTCTATTTATAAATGAGGTAACAAACATACGAATTGAGAATCTGCTTTTTTGAAGTCGATTGAAAGCTAATGAACTTAATTTATATCACTCGATCCAGTTTAGCAAGCATTTGGGTCAACCATTTTAATATTTTTTGTGCTATTGATTACCAAGGATTTTCTTTACAGATAATCAATCAAAATGGTGTCGTCATCAATGAAGAGTGGCCTCTATCTTGGCTTCGGTTCAGTCCTTGTCGTCATCGGTGCCATAATGGCGGCGTGCTGGCCGCCTCTATTCATGAAACAGTTGCAAAAAGTAAGTCAATAAAAAAGAAATATCCATGCGGCGTTTGTACCGTGTGGTCCCAGCGTAGAATGGGACCACACAGTACAAACCTTTCCCGTAGGTGTGGTAAGAGGCGATTAAGGAAACTTGATGGTAGAGGTATGGACAGTAGCGTCTCTCTCTTAAAACATCGTCAAAGCCTAACTGCTATTGTTAGTAATGCGGAATACCAGTCCCATTGCTATCCAATTAACCCTATCAGGTCGACTTCCAAGTGGTCCCCCTGGAAACCATCGTGCTGAATTCCAAGTGTATTTCTTTTTTGATGGGTGAAAATGGTATGGTAACCCCGCCCGCGCTAACGGGATACGCTGGCGGAGCACCAGTGAACGGTGATAGATGAGAATGAAAACAGGTCGGTTAGCCCATCATGATGAATTCATCAGGAATTAACCATGATGGTTTCCAGGTGGAACCGCGAGGAGGTCGACCTGGTTGGGTATATTGCTAGCAATGAGATTCTCAGTCTCCATTACTAACAACCCCTTTCCCCCCATTCCAAGTGTATTCATCACGACGGACTAACTGACCTGCCTTTATATAATAACATCGAATGACTAATAATATTGAAATCCGTTTAGTAGTTTTTCCATCCATATATCCTAACGACCTTTCTCGTTTGTATCACTAATAGGATTAGAAAAGATAAGTGTGTAAGGACAGATTAGTAGATTATTTGTATATGTTTTTTTTATTCTAAATATATTACGTTTATCTTCATTCAAATCTTATCCAATATTAGTTTACATCTAGGATTATATATGGATACTTTTTATCGATCCAATCCAATGAGTATTACGAGATAATAGTTTTTTTTTTATGACTATTAATCATTAGCTTTGGAAAGGGCAAAGTTCTTATATGAAACCACCGGAATAAGGGGGATGGGATTTTTTTTTTATGGCTGAAAATAGCATGGTAGGGGTGTTACCATGCTATTTTCAGCCATTGACATCCAGCCCGCGCGAAGGGGGGAAAGGGTAATGGAGACTAAGAATCCCATTGCTAGCAATGTACCCAACCAGGTCGACCTCCTCGCGGTTCCCCCTGGAAACTGTCATGATTAATTCCAGATTAATTCATCATGATTGGCTAACTGGCCTGTTTTCATCCTCATCGATCATCCTTCACTGGTGCCTCGCTAGCGTATCCCGTTAGCACAGGCGGGGTTACCATTCCATTTTCACCCATCAAAAAAATAAAATAAAAGTTAAACCCCCGCCCGCGCCATCGGCATACACTGGCGAGGCGCCAGTGAGCGGTGATAGGCGAAGATGTAAAGGCAGGTCAGTTAGCCCGTTGTGACGAATTCAACGATAAATTAGCGCAGGCGGGGTTACCATTCCAATTTAATCCAATTAAAAAAAAAAACTCCGCCTGCGCTATCGAGATACGCTGGCGGAGCACCAGTGAAGAATGATAGGTGAGGATGAAGCAGGTCAGTTGGCCCATCGTGACGAATTCAACAAGAATTGTTCACGATGGTTTCCAGAGGGAACCGCGTGGAGGTCGACCTAATAGGGCATATTGCTAGCAATGGGGCTGTCAAACTCCATTGCTGACAATCCCATTCCCCCCCCGCTCATGGTAGGATTAGGTATATACCTAATCCTACCATGCCATCATATATATGAAATACATATACCTACCATATACACATACCATACATATACCATCATATATATGAAATGTCGGTAGATTTAGTGTTAAATAATTAAGGCGTTACTTTTACTTCAATTAATAAATTAATTATTGCAATGAATCCCAAACTGACGGTGTCCATTGTTTCAGATGATGGTATTGACGAACGAGTCAATGTCGTTCGAGATGTGGCGTGAACCGCCCGTCCCCATGTACTTGGAGTGCTACCTTTTCAACATGAGCAATGTTGATGACATCCTCGCTGGCAAGAACGTGAAGCCTCGCCTGGTGCAGTTAGGACCCTATGTCTATCGGGAAATACATACCAAGGTAATATTTGTTACATACATACATATCTGTAACGCCTGTCTCCCATTAGGGTAGGCAGAAACAATTGAATGCCAAATGCTTCGATTCAAACAAACCTCCTCCACATTCATCAATTTTTTCTACACGCTCTTCTTTTAATTTTCTTCTTTCTTATTTGGTTATATTATATATATTCATTCTTGCTCGATAAATCTCTTTCGTAATGCTTCTTTATATCCAAATGGCCCCAAACCAACGCAACATTCTTTTTCGATTTTTATTTTGATATTAGTTTGTTATATTATATATACTAATATTATAAAGAGGGAACATTTTATTGTTTGTTTGTTTGTTTGTATTGGATGAAGCCATAAACTACTCGACCGATATAAAAAAAATATTTTATATATTTAACTGTATATTTGTTTATGTATTCCAAATATTAATAGTTGTAGCACTTCAGTTGCCCGCTAACGACATGCTTTCTAACTGCATCGGGTTGACTGGAAGAGATCTCTGTCAGAGATAAGTCCACCCTTGCTCACAATATTTATAAATGCATTAACAATGTAATTTACAAGTGCAATAAAGTATATATACTTATAAAAAAAAAAACACGGTTAGAAAGCAATTTTTTTTAATGGATGATAATGGAATGGTAACCCCGCCTGCCGCTATCGGTATACGTTGGCGGGGCACCAGTGAGGGATGATAGGTGGGATTAAAAGGCAGGTCAGTTAGCCCATCGTGATGAATACACCAGGAATTCAAGATGGTTTCCACGTGGAAGTTAACCTCATGAGGGAGGGTATATTGCTAGCAATAGGTCTGGTAGTCCGTCTTACTAACAATATACTATCCTCCCAAACTAAGATGTCTTTATGTTCTCTAATTTCACTGCCACATGCCACCTTTCAAGCCGCAATCTTCATCATCATATTAAACCCTTAACAGTCCACTGTTGGACATAGGTTTCCACTATAGACTCACATGAGGAACGGCCCCGAGCCACTTGCATCCACTGACTCCATGCAATGCATTTGAGGTAGTCGCTGCATCTAGTGGAGGATTGTCTTACAATGCGTTTGCCTGTACGGGGTCACCTGCATCCACTGACTCCATGCAATGGATTGGAGGTAGTCGCTCCATCTAGTGGGGGGTCGTCCTACACTGCGTTTGCCTGTACGGGGTCGCCGCAAGGGTGTGGGGGAGAGTTGTTGAAATATTAATGTAATAACTCGTGTTATCCCGTGGACCAACCAGGAGAACATGACGTGGAACAACGAGAACAACACGTTGACCTACTTCAACCAGCGGTGGTGGCACTTCCAGCCGGAGATGTCGAACGGCAGCCTCTCGGACAACATTACCAGCATCAATCCAATAATAGTGGTGCGTATGATTTGGAGCTGTACTTTAAATACCGACTTCAAAAAATAACAAGGCTTTTTTTCAAAAAAAAAAAACGAGAAACGAACTTCTGTTTTCCATTGTATATTGTTTATATTTAACGTGTCGACGTCTAGATTATATTTATTTTGATGTGTCTGTCTGTCTGTGACATCGTAGCTTCCGAACGGATGTACCCGATGAATGAAAAAATCATAACGATTTTCTTTGTTTGAAATGTGAATTAGTCGTGAGTGTTCTTAGCTATGTTTGATAGAAATCGATCCAAGATGGCCGCCGCCACAAAATGTCGGATTACATATTTTTTCACAACTCCCTCAATATAGGTATAATATAAAAGTAGATAAATAAATAGATACTCTTTATTGTTTCCTCCAAAAGATTACAATAGTAAACTTATTATAAATATAAATAATTACAAGAAATAATCACAATGAGAAAACAATGGGCGACCTTATCGCTAAGAGCGATCTCTTCCAGGCAACCTTTGGATGGAGAGGAGTAATTATAAAAGTACTTCATGTATTCCAGATGTTATTTTTTGTTGAATATACAATGGTTCATATTCGATTGTCTAGTTCAGGATAGAAGTGTGGGAACTGTTGTGATTTTTAGCCCATAGATCGAGATTACATTAGTCGGATAGCAGGTAAGGTCGCTTCCGCTAAAGAGAAAATGGTCTATTTTCATTCAAAGTCCGATAACTCAGCGAAAAATGGTCGTATTAATTGCATTAAAGTTTAAATAAATAAAATTATATATATATATATATATATATATATATATATATAAAATATACAATATATAGCTTTTGGTGATGGTACGACGTGTTGTTGCTACTTATTATATATATATTTTCTCAAACATGCTTGGAAATGTGAGCATTATTTTGACAATCTTCTTAGAGATAAATCAAAATTGCCGTACTGTCCAGATACATGCGGGCAGCGGCCGGCAAAAGTTGTATGAAAATCCATGTCTGTCGTGTTTTGCGGCCAGATAAATTACTATGTAAACTCATATCTGTCCTGTAATTTAAAAATGGAATGACCTTTTACTTCGAAACATGGCTACCAATGAGGCAACTTATACAAGGTATTATTTAAATTTCGAACTGGCCTGCAAATAGAAAGCTGTTTATTGAAAAAAAAAAACAAAGAAACATTATGGCGCGTGAAAAATTATTATTGTTCGTTATTCGTCATTGAACTTAAAACGTAAAATTGTGTTTTTGATTTCCGCGCATTGTTTGAGAAAAGTACTACACAAGCCTTGGCCACAACTAGGCATTGATGGACTCATGTATATGGTCTACGCCTCGGCCCATATTTGCATATACAGTAATGTGCTATATATATATATATATATATATATATATATATATATATATATATATATATATACATATAATTTATTGTACACCTAGACTATATCCTAGATTAACAAATAGAATAATTGTTATATTGATTATATTGGTATGTTAATCATATCCGTCTAGACACGATAACAGACATTCTAATATGTTTATTTCCTTAATATTAGAAGGATGATAATTGTGGCGTACTCTTTATAAAATATCTATCTTTCTCGCTCATTGGCAATAAGTTTTAGTGAGCACCTACAAAAACAGCAGATAAGATCATTTAAGAGGTCGGTGGTTATGAAATAAAACTCGCGTCATTACAGGAGAATCCAACTCATGTATTAACACTTCCAAAACATTGCAATTAAAATACATTTGTATTAAAGCGACTTAGCAAATTATACGTCTTCACTGGTCAATGTTCAATCAACAACTGTCAACTGTTGGTCGTTACTTCTAGTTTTTATGTCGACTATTTTGGCGGGTAAATGTTTATGCCGGAAATGTCAAATCACCATTTTGTAGTTAAATCAAATCAGCAACGGTGGCACTTCACAACAGTTATGTTATGATACATAATAAAATAAGAGGATATAAATATAAGATATAAAAATATTATAAGATAATAATATAATATAAGATATAAATTACTTGAATGACGAGTGTGCATGGCAATAGTTGTTCATGCACTGAATTTTCATTTAATGTTAGACATAGACACCTATATAAATATACATTGTAAATAAACTGGCTTTAAAAAAAAAAAAAAAAGTAATTAAATTGAGTTTCTTGCCAGTTCTTCTCAATTGGATCTATATACCGAACTGGACGGTAGGGGAAAAAATAAAATTATAATGTAAAAATTTGACGTTCATAAGCGGCTAAAATGTCCTACATGAATAAATGATTTTTGAATTTTGAATTTTGAATAAAATATTGGTATGCTAACAATCAGAAGTAACGTATGAATAAACAGAGTTTTTCCTTAAAGCTTAGCAAAGTTTATTGCCAAGTATCCACGCAGTCCAAATACCATACCATACCATACCATACCATAGCGTCGCATACCATATCAGCCGTTAACTGTCCACTGCTGAACGTAAGCCTACACCAGTGATTCTCAACCTTTTTTTTGTTGCGGCACATATTTAACGATTTCAAAATTTGACGGCACACAAAGGAAAAGATAAAAATTATTTACTTATTACACACACACACACACACACTGCATAAATAGTTTATGACAAAATTTTTAAATATTTGCACAATTTGGCGGCACACAAAAGTGCCGCGGCACAGTGGTTGAGAATCACTGGCCTACACCATAGAGGTTTTTTTTTAACAGGTGATAATGGAATGGTAACCCCGTCTGCGCTATCGGTATACACCGGCGGGACACCAGTAAAGAATGATAGATGAGAATAAAAGCAGGTCAGTTAGCCCATCGTGACGAATTCCACTAGAATTAATCTGCAATGGTAATCCGGAAACCGCGTGGAGGTCGACCTGATAGAGTGTATTGCTGAAAATAGTTCAGTTAGATTTTTATAAGCAGAACTTATAGTGTTCCGGACAAACCACTGTGAGTTTTGCTATGTCTGTTTGTGACTTTATGACTAAAATAAATAAGAAAAACAAAATAAGCAAAAAAAAAGGTTTTTTTTTGCTTATTTTGTGTTTTTAGTAAAATATTTTAGTTAGTTTTGAGTTATTATAATTACTTATTATAACTTATATTTTTATTACCTCATAACTCCGTCAGTTTTAAACCGATTCGAAAAATTGTTTTTCTATATTTCTCATCACAATCGGTTTAGTAATTTAAACTTCTTTTCGTTTAAGAGTTCCCTCTTGTCGGTGCAACTAATTCATTCATCTTCTTCCAGCCAGCTCTATCCCAGGCCATATCCTTGACCTCCCTATACGACATGACACCTAGTGTTTCTTTTATCTGTCCCATATTGTTATTCCTCGGTCTTCCTCTTCCTCTTTTGCTCTCTATTTTTCCTTCTAATATGCTCTTTAAAAAATCGTCATGTCGTATAAGATGGCACAACTATTTGCCTCTTCTATTCTCTATAGTATATATATATATATATATATATATATATATATATATATATATATATATATATATATATATATATATATATATATATATATATAATTAATTTAATACCAACATAAATCTTAAAATGTTACCCTACACAGAGCGTCGCCTACGAACTGCGGTACAACAATGTTCTGGAGAGAATACTAGCGAATGCCTTCCTGAGACTCATCCACGAGAACATGTTCGTGACCGCCAACGTGACCTCGTGGCTGTTCGACGGCATCGAGGACCCGCTGCTGAATATCGCCAGCCAGATACCGTTCCTGCCATACGACTTGCCGTACGATAAGTTCGCGTGGTTTTACGAGGTGAGTACCGTGATAATCTTCATATCAGCTCTTAATCGTCCACTGCTGAACTTAAGCCTCCCCCTTGGAAGGTTTTGCCAGTAGTTGTCACGCGTGACAGGCAGGTTGGCAACCGCAGTTAGTCTTTGGTCATGTTTTAAGAGGGACGCTGCTGCCCATCCCTCGACCGTTCAGTTCCCACCCACAGGACATGAGACACCCACGGGAAAGGAAGGAATTTATAGTATTGGTAAGGTCATATTAGTGTAGACAGTCGCGAGTTGTTATAAAATAAAAATGGCGGCGATAGATTGTCAAAAACTATTTTAAAAGTTACCTTGTTGTGACTTCACATAACAATATTTACTTTATTTATTTTACTTATTTTACTTTATTATTTATATATATTATATAAATATAAACATAAATATAATATTAACAGAACATAATACTTTATTGTTATTAAAGCAATGAACGTAGGCTATTGTGGAAAGAGATATCTCGAACTACAAGTGCAAAGTTCGTACAAATATTCTGGACTCATTAGCAGATAAATGCCGCGTAAATTACAAGCTCTATGATTCATGCCGTTAAAATAACATACAATTTCATTATACATTAATTCCCACTATCACTACATAGTATAAAACAAAGTCGCCTCCCGTCTGTCTGTCCCTATGTATGCTTAGATCTTTAAAACTACGCAGCGGATTTTGATGTTTATTTATTTTACACTTTATTGCACCAAGTAAAAAGAGAAATAACAAATACAGTAAATATTAATGAGAAGTGATACAGAAGGCGGCCTTATCGCTGAGCAATCTCTTCCAGACAACCTTTGGGCAGAGAACATTGAGAAAAAGACAAAGAGTAGGTGGCGCACTATTATATAAATATTATCATATACAAACATACATACATACATACATACACATACATATATATATATATTATATATATATATATATATATATATATATATATATATATATATATATATATATATATATATATATATACATATATATATATATATATATATATACATATATATATATATATAATATATACATATATATATATATAATATATATAATATATATATATATATATGTTGTTTTTTTAATAGATAGAATTCAAGAGGAATGTTTATGTGTATAATACATACATAATATTGTAGAGAAACACTGATAATTTTAAAGTTTCTAATGTGTATGTGGTGTAATGTGCGCGCATGCGAAGCCGGGGCGGGTCGCTAGTTTCATTACATATTCATGATTGTTGATAAAACTTATAACAGATGCGTTTGTTCTGGTCCAATTTTATTTTTGTTGAATTACCACTTTGTGTTTGAAAATGAGGAATCCGGTTATGAGTCATTCATATCGGCCTTTTTTTTATGGAAGATAATTGAATGGTAACACCGTCTCCGCTAGCGGTATACACTGGCGGGACACCAGTGAGAGATGATAGGTTTTTTTTTTAATGGGTGATAATGGAAAGGTAGCCCCGCCTGCGCTATCGGTATACATAATTATTCGGTGCCGTTCTATGCCGGGACCAAACGGCACTCTGAGTCATTTACATTGTACATTTAAATGTCCTTTTATTCAGAAAAAATGTTACACGTGTAATTAACGCTGTTTGCAAGTGACTTTAAAAATCGCTTATGTATCGAATTTCATCGGAATCTGTTCAGCAGTTCTAGCATGAATGTATAACGAATATTTGAACAATATAGAAAACTTTCATATTTTTAACATTACCTCATAGTTTCATTTCCTGTCCTTATCTTAGTTATTTATGGTCATCGTAATACAGCTTTATTCATAATATACTAGCCGTTTTTTTGATGGGTGAAAATGGTATGGTAACCCCGCCTGCGCTAACGGTATACGCTGGCGGAGCACCAGTGAAGGGTGATAGATGAGAATGAAAACAGCCCAGTTAGCCCATCATGATGAATTCATCAGGAATTAACCACGATAGTTTCCAGGGGAACCGCGAGGAGGTTGACCTGGTTGGGTATATTGCTAGCAATAGGATTCTCAGTCTCCATTACTAACAATCCCTTTCCCCTCCATACTAGCCGTTTCCCGCGGCGTTGCCCGCTTCTATGTAGTTCCCGTATATCATTCCCATTCGAACTCTTCAAGAGGTTGCATACCCGTGTGCCCTTTACTCTTACTTCAACCGTGAAGCAGTTGTGTTTGCATGGCTGTGTTTCGGTTTGAACGGTGGGATATGGCGTGAACTTACAGGGTACAGAGGAATAACACCCGAGTCCTCAGGAATGGCAACGCATGAGGGGTGTCATGGACGAAACGATATACTCTGTTATGTCCATGGTATAGTTCATGTCTATAGGCGACTGTTACCACTTTCTATCAGGTGGGCCGTCAGCTTGTTGGCCATTCTAAATTGTATAAAAAAAATATCACAAGTTCTATATTAGACGGTATTTAATATTACCCTTATTGTAAACTGTATTTCGACAAGAATCGAACCCGTATCCTTTAACATTCGGTATACAGGTTCCAGTACTATACATAGGGGGGAAAGGGATTGTTAGTAATGGGGTCTAATAGCCCCATTACTGGCAATATACCCTCTCAGGTTGACCTCCACGCGGTTCCATCTGGAAACCATCATATGTTTAATTGTTGTCGAATTCATCATGGTGGGCCAACTAACCTGCATTCATTCTCACCTATCATCTTCCACTGGTGCCTCGTCGGTGTATACCGATAGCGCGGGCGGGGTTACCAATCCATTTTCATCGATTAAAAAAAAAAGTACTATACATGAGACTCCTTAGACAGATTGACCAATAATAATGTTTCACAAAGTAAACCTATTCATCGGATGTGTCAATCGTTCAACAAAATTAGCGAAAAATTCGTTATCTTTCATCAGAGTACTATTAGGTTTAAGAAGTTATTATGTAATTTTGAAATGGAATATGTTTGGATCATAACTGTAATCAGTAATGTAATGTACATCTATAAAAGCGTTCTAACATTTTCTCAAACATGCTTGGAAATATGAGCATTATTTTGACAATATTCTTAGAGATAAATCAAAATTGCCGTACTGGTCAGATACATGCGGGCAGCGGCCGGCAAAAGTTGTAGTTGTATGTTTTGCGGCCAGAAAATCCATATCTGTCTGTAATTTGTGGAATTTGAAACATGGCCAGATAAAGGTTTTATTTAAATTTCGAACGCTTGCAAATCTGTTTATTGAACAAAAAAATGGCGCGTGAAAAATTATTATTGTTCGCTATTCGTCATTTTTAAAATTGTGTTTTTGATTTCCGCGCATTATTTGAGAAAAGTACTATACAAGCCTTGGCCACAACTAGGCATTGATGGACTCACGTATGTGTGCCTCGTCTACGCCTCGTCCCACATTTGCACGTTCGTCCATCAATGCCTCAGTTGCTGGCCGCTGCAGTAACGTACTATTACTTCTAACTTACTGCTAAATGATGTTTACAATATAAGGTTGGCAAACTGCGTATTGATAAATTTTTGTATTGTCTTCATTTTAACAGCATGCTCATTTCTGTTTGCAAACTGTTATTGTAACTTGTAACAAATAAATAAATATGTCAGACGGATACCTAAGTGTTAAAGAGTCAAAAGTAAAAATTATTTATTCATAAGATAATTTTGTAAATACAACTCAAAACACTATTGTTTTCACATTAATTAGCATGCTGTATTTTCAAACTGACGAAGTCAACGTTTCCTTAACATATCTACGTTTATTTTATGTATAAATGCTAATAACGGCTAAGCCTATTTGCGGTTGCCAATTGATCTGCCAAATGTGGCACTACTAGCAACACCCCCCATTAGGCCTCCCTATGTTTAACAGTGATACAATTAATAGCTGATATCAGAATAATAATAAATTAAAAAAAAATCAATATGTACAAAATAATGATATAAATTGCTTATTTATCATATTAATTGTAACAAACCGTAAACAACAAATTTTGAGAGACTTTGTACAAAAGTCGATTGCTTGGGTACCTCTGTCCTATTCGTGTTTCAACCGTAAAGCAGTTGTGTTTGCATGGCTGTGTTTCCGTTTGAAGGGTGGGATTTGTCGTGAATTTACAGGGTACAGAGGAATAACACCTGAGTTCTCAGGAACGGCAACGCATTAGGGGTGTCATGGGCGAAACAGTATACTCTGTTATGTCCATGGTACTGCTCATGTGTATAGGCGACGGTTACCACTTTCCATCAGGTGGACCGTCAGCTTGTTTGCCATTCTAAGTTGTATATATATATATAAAAAAAATTACAATAAAAGTACAATAGATCATTAAAAAAATTATACTCGTGTAACAGGCGAAAGTGGCGCGTGCGCCCGCGCATACATCCATGAAGGAATTCCACGCATAACGCCAGTGATGCAACAAATTACAAAACGCAAACAGCACACAGACTCATTGCACGATTAATATCACGTTCATGACAACAGTGCTCTTGTAGATTTAGCTAGATAGTTAGTTAGTTGATAAAATAAAATTTTGTTCTAGATTATGGTACTGTAGTTACAGAGAATTGGTTCTTTTCAAACCGGTTTCAAAAAGAATGAGCTCATTCTATTGTATATATATATATATATATATATATATATATATATATATATATATATTTTTTTTTTATATATATATATATATATATATATATATATATATATAACATAAATCTCCCTCTATTGGTGGATTTTGCCACTAGTTGCCACGATTGGCAGGTCAATTGGCAGCCGCAATTAGGCTTTGGTGATGTTTTAAAAACACTGTTGTCCATCTCTCGGCTATTATGTTTCCTTAATCGCCTCTTACGACAGCCAAGGGAAAGGAAGGGGTGGTCCATCTCCGGAACCACGCGGCAGTTTCATAATTTATATTTTATATTTAAATTAACACATTGAAATTAGGAGAGAAAACAATTTTAAATTTGCAAATTTAAATAATTTACGCCAATTACTATATTTAGACGTTTATTTATCACACATACATAATTTAAAGTTACTATGGCGATATCTAATAAAAAATATTTGCATTGATTATCTGTATTTATGTTTTATTTTAATGCATTATATTGTAATAAAAATATATTGTTATCTATTAGTCTGTATCTAGGATTAAAATGCATGGTATAAATCCAGCAATTCATAAATCCAAAGGTGTTTAAAGATAGAAGATATTGTGGTCATGCCTTCACTAGCTGACCCGACAAAAAGTACCCTAAGTAGTCAAAATGAGTAGTACACAGGGTACTTTTTTTATCTAAAAAGTACCCTAAGTAGTCATAATGAGTAGTACATAGGGTACTTTTTTTTTATCCATAAAGTACCCTAAGTAATAGTTATGAAAAGTATATAGGGTACTTTTTATCCATTAAGTACCCTAAATGGTCCTTAGGATATAAGATACTTTTATCAAAAAAGTATCTTATGTCATTATAAAATAAGGACCTATTTGTTCTCCAATATGAGTACTACATGCTTGATCATTATTTGTGAAACAGAGTAAACCCTTATTCAGGGGGAAGGGATTGTTAGTAATGGGGTCTAGTAGTTAGCATTAAACCCTATCAGTTCGCCCTGGAAATCATCGTGGTTAATTCTTGTAGAATTCGTCACAATGGGCTAACTGACCTGCTTTCATCCTCACCTGTCATCTAGCACTGGTGCCTCGCCAGTGTATGCCGATAGCCCACCTGATGGAAAGTGGTAACCGTCGCCTATAGACATGAGCAGTACCATGGACATAACAGAGTATACTGTTTCGCTTATGATACCCACCGTCCGTTGCCATTCCTGAGGACTCAGATGTTATTCCTCTGTACCCTGTTAATTCACTGTCATATCCCATCCTTCAAACCGAAACACAGTCATGCAAACACAACTGCTTCACGGTAGAAACACGAATGGGACAGAGGTACCCAAGCAAACGACTTTTGTACAAAGCCTCCCTCAGGATGTAGTCAGGTCATTTACTCCATAATGATGGATTCACCAGGAATTAGAGTCATGTTAGTCTAATTAGTGTAAAAACACAAAATAACACACAAAAGGCACATTTTTGCATTTTTTATCACACGGATTTACATGATAATGTTATTAAGGATAAATTACTATCTCGCACCTGCATTTAATTATTGCGTATTACCAAATAGTACTAAATAGATTTCATGCAATCACGCGCATCAAACCTGATGCTTGGGGGGGGGGGGGGGGGAAGGGATTGTTAGCAATGGAGACTAAGAGCCCCATTGCTAGCAATATACCCAACCAGGTCGACCCCCTCGCGGTTCTCCCTGGAAACTATCATGATTGATTCCAGATGAATTCATCATGATAGGCTAACTGACCTGTTTTCATTCTCATCTATCACCCTTCACTGGTGCTCCGCCAGCGTATCCCATTAGCGCAGGCGGGGTTACCATACCATTTTCATCCAACAAAAAAAAACCTGATGCTTTGTTTGGTCCCGTCATAGAATGAATCGCCTCTTTCGCGTAGGTGGTCGTAAGAGGCGACTAATAGAAGTTAATGGTCCAGAGATAGGTCGTAGCGTACTTAGGGGGGAAAGGGATTGTTAGTAATGCGGACTATCAGTCCCATTGCTAGCAATATATCCTATCAAGTCGACCTCCACGTGGTTCCCCATGGAAATCATCGTGCTTTTTTTTATACAACTTAGAATAGCAAACAAGCTGACAGCCCACCTGATAGAAAGTAGTAACCGTCGCCTATAGATGGATATATATATATATATATCCAAGTGTTTTCATCACGGTGAGCTACCAGGCCTACCTTTTCATCCTCATCAATCAAATCTCACTGGTGCCCCGCCAGCGTATACCGTTACCCCAGGCGGAGTTATCATTCCATTATCATCCATAAAAAAAAAATTATAAGACAAAATAAATATAGAAATTATAAAGGAACCACTCATAAATTAATCACTAATAAAAGGCCGGCAGCACACTTGCAATGCCGTTAGTGTTGTGGGTGATCATGGGCGGCGGTAGACACTCACCACCAGGTGAGCCGCATACTTGTTTGCCGCCTGTGTTGTAAAAAAAATAAACTATTTGTCACGCAAAATTGTATCAATAAAAGTTGAGACGTTTTTCTCGAAGTGAAATACTATGGCGGCACTCTACCTATATAATCTAAAAGTAGCCAAATCTTTTTGCAATATGGATAAAAATATATTACGCCGACATCAAATAATTGAGATAAGGGTAGGACTCTATCTGTATAATCTAAGCTTTTAACATACGAAATGTTACTTTTTTACTTTATTCGATTAGTAAGTATTTTATACATACACACATACATATCTGTCACGCCTGTCTCCCATTAGTGTAGGCAGAAACAATGGAACGCCAAATGCTTTGATTCAAACAAACCTGTTCGCTTTCTTCACATTCATCAATCTTTTCATACACGCTCGCCGGTTACGGGTACCTTTAATTTGGCCCTTCTTTAGCACGTCGCCTATTTGGTCAACATACGTCCGTCTGGGGCGGCCCCTAACGACATCTCCATTCATTCTTGCTCAATAAATCTCTTTCATAATTCTTCTTTCATCCATCCTCTCCAAATGGCCAAATCAACGCAACATTCCCTTTTCGATTTTTGTCACTACATCGTCTTTCAGTCCACACTTCTCTCTAATCACACTGTTTCTTACTTTATTATTTCATGTATAATATAGTATATATCATATATGTGTAAGTATATTTGCTATTTATTTATATATTTATTCGTTTATATATGTAATTTTAGTATGTATGTATATCAATAATTACTAGTACCGCATTCGAGTATTCTGACACTTCCCTATGGTTGACTGGGAGAGAATGCTTTTAGCTTTAAGTCCGCCATGTACATATATTTGTACTAATCTACACTAATATTATAAAGAGGAAAGATTTGTATTTTTGTGTGTATGTATGTTTGTAATGAATAAACTCAAAAACTACTTTGCCGATTTCACAAATTCTTTCACCATTAGAAAGCTACATTCACCCTGAGTAACATAGGCTTTTATATTTATTGCTAGAAAAGATTAGGGTTCCTTACTAAAATTTAGTAACGTAACTCAAGAACGTAACGTAACTGGCAAAAAAATGCTATAAAATATTATATCTTTCGTCGCGTGCGCTGCGGAAACTATTGGTGATAGAACAAAAGTGTGTTCTACAATATTGAAGAAAATATTAATAACTACAAAAAACTTCCCGATACTATATGTCCAACTATTATCGTTATGTCACAATAACCACTATTTTAAAATGTTGTAAAAATGTCCACCCGTGCAAAGCCGGGACGGCTAGTGAATAAACAAAACTAAATGAAATGTAATATGTCGCCTGCAGCGCAACGGTTCGTTAACATTCGACGGGTCGTTCAACATGAACACGGGCGCTGCGGACTTCTCCCAGCTGGGGAACATCGAGATGTGGCAGTACTCGAACAGGACAATGTACCGGGACGAGTGCGGCGCCGTGCGCGGCTCCACGGGCGAGCTGTGGGCGCCCGAGCTCGGCCAGCAGGAGGTGTACGTGTTCGCGCCCGACATGTGCACGTAAGTGGCCGTGCGTGCGTGCGGCGTGGACGTGCGTGCTGTCCGGTGTTGCCAGTGTGGAAGTGAAATGATGGCTGTTTACTGTTAGGCTGCGTATGATTGGATAAATTTTAAGTTAGGTCCTTCGAAACGTAACTGTGAAGACTGCATCTAATTTTTTTTTTGTTTTATTGGATCAAAATGGTATGGTAACCTCGCCTGCGCTAACGGGATACGCTGGCGGGGCACCAGTGAAGGGTGATCGATGAGAATGAAAACAGGCCAGTTAGCCCATCATGATGAATTCGTCTGGAATTAATCATCATAGTTTCCAGGGGGAACCACGAGGAGATCGACCTGGTTGGATATATTGCTAGCAATGAGATTCTTAGTCTCCATTACTAACAATCCCTTTCCTCCCTACTTCATCTAATTAGGTGCTACAGTTTATGCGTGATGCCGGAACCAATATACAGATATACTTGTTTTAATTTCTGTTGCCCTATTAAAAATATTAAAATATATTTTTTTCTTTAATTAAAGTAAAGTAAATATATATTTATTTCTCTCACAAAATAACAACATAATATAACTAACAGCCATATAGGTTACAATTCAAGACAATCTTTGTGAGAGACTGGTGTTGGTACTTTTTTAATGGGTGATAATGGAATGGTAACCCCATCCGCACTAACGGTATACACCGGCGGGGCACCAGTGAAGGATGATAGGAGAGGATGAAGCAGGTCAGTGACGTCCATCGTGACGAGTTTAACAAGAATTGTTCACGATGGTTTCCAGAGGGAATCACGGGGAGGTCGAACTAGCATTGCTAACAATCCCTTCCTCCCTGTTGTCGGTACTAGGATGACCCATCTTACAGATCACCAGGCTCTCAAACTCAATATATATCTCCTAGTTACAATTTTGTTATATTTTGATTATCACCTAATGACCACTGTTGAACATAGGCCTCCCCCTTGGGGGGGTTTTGCCAGTAGTTGCGACACTTGGTAGGCGGTAATTACTGGAAAAACTTCTCATTCGCATCCCTGGTACGCAGAGTACGTGCCAGCGCCAACAGCATCCTGAGTATGATAGCAAGCAGGCTGGACTGTGTGTACGTTAATCACTGCTGCGCGATTTCCAATGGAATTGTACAGTGGTGATTATCTGTATACTATTTAATATATTAAGTGTGTGTGCGTGCGTGCGTGCGTGCGTGCGTGCGTGCGTGCGTGCGTGCGTGCGGTAGGGCGTGCGTGCGTGCGTGCGGTAGTGCATGCGTGCGTGCGTTCGTGCGACAGTTAATGGCTGATATGATGATGTTGATAATGAATTAGTTTTTTAAGTAATGACTAATATTCTATTATAATTACACATAATTTACAATTTTGCCAATATTTTTTTTAGATACCTGATCCTGCCCATAGACAAAGAGCTCACCGTGGAAGGCATAACCGGTGTTCAGTATGCTGCCAACGATTCTGTGTTTGACAATGGACATAAATATCCACATATGGTAAGATTTTTTTTTTATTTTAATTCTTTTTTTTTTATACCACTGAGGTGGCAAACAAGCATATGGCCCACCTGATGGTAAGCGGTTACCGTAGCCTATGAACGCCTGCAATACCAGAGGTATAACGTGCGCGTTGCCGACCCTGAAGAAACCTCTTTACCCCCCTTTTGAAGAACCCCATGCTGTAGTCTCTTGGGAAAACTTCGGCAGGGAGCTCATTCCATAATCTGAGTGTTCGAATTATAATGTCTTTATTAATCCCTCTACCAGAGGGAGACTTTGTACAAAAGTCGTTTGCTTGGCCACCTCTGTCCCATTCGTATTTCTACCGTGAAGCAGTTGTATTTGTATGGCTATGTTTCGGTTTGAAGTGTGGGATATGGCAGTGAATTTACAGGGTAGAGAGTAATAACACCTGAGTCCTCAGGAATGGCAACGCATTGGGGGGTATCATGGGCGAAACAGTATACTCTGTTATACTCATGGTACTGCTCATGTGTATAGGCGAGAAAGGTAAAGGATTTTTAAATTGATTAAGCAATTTCTAATTAATTCATTACAATGAAACATAAAAATAATTTCCGTGTGATCCCGGCATAAAATACCTTCCTTTAGTCACGTTTTACGACACCCACGGGAAAGGAAAGGGTGGCCTATTCTATGCCGGGACCATACCTATTAATTTTTATTAGTTATTATTTTCTGTTTGCTGCGTACCTTCATAAGGGGGGGAGGGATGTTGCCCGTAGTTATAACGCTTGGTAAGCGGGTTGGCAACCGCAGTCAGGCTTTGGAAATGTTTTAAGAAGGACACTGCTGTCCGTACCTTGACTAATAAATTCCCTAGTCGCCTCTTATGACACTCCTGGGTAAGGACGGGGTGGCCGACTGTATGTTTATGTCTGGCACGAGCGATCGTTCCGTCGTTATGTGGACGTAACGCCGCGGAACCGCTGATGGAAGGCAAGGTGTGACGGCAGGCGTGTTACTGCGCGGCGCAGCGGGACGCGGACTGCGTGCCGGCGGGCGCGCTGAACGTGTCGGCGTGCCGGCTGGGCGCGCCCGCCTTCGTGTCGCTGCCGCACCTGCTGCACGCCGCGCCGCACTACCGCGACCGCGTCGACGGCCTGCACCCCTTGCCGTGAGTACACGCGTCACTGTTAGTAATGCGGACTATCAGTCCGATTGCTAGCAATATGCCCAATAAGGTCGACTTCTGCGTGGTTCCCCCTGGAAACCATCGTGCTGAATTCCTGATGAATTCATCATGATGGGCTAACTGGCCTGTTTTCATTCTCATCTATCACCCCTCACTGGTGACCCGCCAGTGTATACCGTTAGCGCAGGTGGGGTAACCATTCCATTATCGTCAATTAAAAAAAAGTACACACGTGAAAAAAAGTGCATCCGGCTCGAAGGACCAACGTACACTGCTTACAGAAACCAAAATAATTAATTTGTTGATACATACGATTTGGATTATTTTAACTGTTTATATAAGGTGTTACCAAATTATCTGCTTTCTCTGCTACAGGGTATAGTAAAAGGTAGTAGTAAATATCTTCGACATTCACGACGGCGTGTTCTCTAAACTCGTAACAAGGGGGGAAAGGGATTGTTAGTAATGGAGACTAAAAATCCCATTGCTATCAATATACCCAACCAGGTCGACCTTCTCGTGGTTCCGCTTGGAAACTATCATGGTTAATTCCTGATGAATTCATCATGATGATGGGCTAACTGGCCTGTTTTCATTCTCATCTATCACCCTTCACTGGTGCTCCGCCAGCGTATCCCGTTAGCGCAGGCGGGGTTACCATACCATTTCCCATAAAAAAAAAAACTCGTAACAAAGTCCGCCCTTTGCTCTACTCGTAACCAACTTAGGATTACAAACGTCTTACTCGGTAGTTGTACAAACGGGAACCCGGGATCCAACATAAGCGCCTCGAGGTACGTCGTGTGGTTTTTAGTAGGTACGAATCCCACACACCCCAGCTGCCCTCCCTCCGGCAGATGGGACGGTCTTTCCGAAGATTTTCCACACGTTAAAAGGATTACAAACGTCTATTGATTCATGGATTAGACATAATTTCACAATTTAATTCCAGTGAGCACAACTTCCGGCTGACGTTGGAGATGTTCACGGGCATGCCGCTGGCTGTGTCCGCTCAGCTGCAGATCAACTTTCTGGTGCGCCACTACGCCGGGATGAGGTATTTATAAGCCTGATTCACAATACTAGATCGCGATTAGGTCACGATCCGAACTTATTCTTTTTTTTTTACAACATAGGGGGCAAGCAAGCATGCGGCTCACCTGATGGTAAGTGACTACCGCCGCCCATGATCACCCACAACACCTACGGCATTGCAGGTGTGCTGCCGGTCTTTTAAAAAGGAATATGCTCTTGAAGGTTATGTTGTCGTATCGGTTCGGAAATACTGCTGCTGGAAATTGATTCCAAAGAGTGGTTGGAATGAAATTTTAGATTATGGCAGGTTGTACGATGGTGAAAATCAGCAGCAAGTATCAATCCGAAGCCAAAATATTAATAACGTATTGTTTTTTTTTATGCAACTTAGAATGGCAAACAAGCTGACGGCCCACCTGATGGAAAGTGGTAACCGTCGCCTATAGACATGAACAGAGTATACGGTTTCACCCATGATACCCCCCATGCGTTGCCATTCCTGAGGACTCAGGTTATTTCTCTGTACCCTGTAAATTCACGCCCATATCTCACCATTCAAACCGAAACACAGCTATGCAAACATAACTGCTTCACAGTAGAAACGCGAATGGGGCAGAGGTGCCCAAGCAAAGGAGTTTTGTACAAAATCTCCCAAAATTGTCGCGTGGTCCCGGCATAGAATAGACCACCCTTTCATTTCCCGCGGGTGTCGTAAAAGACAACTAATGAAACTTAATGTTCGAGTAATAAGCAGTAGCATTTTTTTTTAATTCCTCTAACCGGTTACTGTAGTCTATGGACGTCTGTGTCACCAAGTCCTGTCACCAGTCACCAATCACCAACACTATTGGTGTTCCATTACTGTAACAGTGCAGTAAGAAAATTGTCTCTCAATTTAATAAAAGTTTTATAATTGTTAATTTAGCACTGCACATACTGGTTTAATGTGTCGTCTCCACCATTTTTATCTTCACTGGCTAAATTTTTATTTATTATATAAGATAATTTTTATATGTTAATTTTGTCAGTCACAAATCATTTGAAATTAACGTCTCAACCAATCTCATTTCTATTCAACCAGCAACAAAATAAAAAAAAAGATCTTTGTTTTTTTATTTTCGGCCAGTTTGAACAACCAATTCTAGCAACAAATTAAAAAAAGGATCTTTGTTTTTTTTTTATTTTCGGACAGTTTGAACATTTAATTCCAGCAACAAATTAAAAAAAAATATAGAACTTTTTTTTTATTTTCGGCCAATTTGAATAACCAGTTCCAGCAACAAATTAAAAAAAAAACTTTGTTTTTTTTTATTATCGGCCAGTTTGAACAACCAATTGCCGGACGACACGCTGGTGCCGATGTTCTGGTTCCGGCAGGAGGTGGTGGTGACGCCCGAGTACGCCCAGCAGGCCCGTACCGCGCTGCGGCTGCGGTACTGGGTACCGTACGCCTTCTATGTACTCACTGTACGTTATATGTTCATTACTAGCATCCACCACAGTATAAGCAATACTGTGATTCGCTTTTCTAGAAGCATTTGTATGGAGATACTCTATCTGTATAATTTAAGCAGGTAACAAACAAAAAAGAGCCGTGTGATCCTAGTTATATGTTAATTACTAGCTTCTACCACAGTATAAGCAATTCCGTGTGGTCCCGGCATAGAAAAGGCCACCCCTTCCTTTCCTGTGGGTGTCGCAAGAGGCGACTAAGTGTGAGCGAGAGATAGGCAGTAGCGTCCTTTCCTGTGGGTGTCGTGAAAGTCAATTAAAAAAGGGAGGCCGACAGATAGGCAGTAGCGTTCTTCTTAAAACACGACTAAAGCCTAACTGCGGTTGACAGTCCGCCTGCCAAGCGTCGCAACTACTGGCAGAAATCCCCCTAGGGGGAGGCTTATGTCCAGCAGTGGACAGTTAAAGGCTGATATGATGACCCATAAAAGGGAATAATCAATCGGGTTTAAAGGGAAAGTTTACCATATAATCTAATATCAAACAATTTCGTGTTTACAATCAATAAATGATCAGGTAAAGAAGACAGTTCAGAATTGGCCAAGAAATTGTCTGATATACACACTTGCCAAGTGTGGCAAATACAGGCAAAACCCTCTAAGGAGGATGTTTCATTAGTGTTTGTTCACCATTGGACAGTTAAGATGAAGCGGTAATGAATGTGAATGTGTGAATGTAAAAAAGACTCTAATTTCCGCGCTTAGCCTCTCATTTGGGCTTTTTGACATTGGACATAGCAGAGTGTACTGTTTCGCCCATGATACCTCCCAAGCGTTCCCTTTCCTGAGGACTCAACTGTTATTCCTCTGTACCCTGTGAATTCACTGCCATATCCCATCCTTTAAACTGGAACACAGCTATGCAAACGACTGGTTCACGGTAGAAACACGAATGAGACAGAGGTGCCCAAACAAACGACCTTTGTACAGAGTCTTCCTCTGGTACAGCTAATATGATGATGACAGTTTAGTTTTTTTTTTATACCACTGAGGTGGCAAACAAGCATACGGCCCACCTGATGGTAAGTTGTTACCGTAGCATATGAACACCTGCAATACCAGAGGTATTACGCGCGCATTGCCGACCCTTAAGAAACTTCTTTATCCCCCTTTTGAAGAACCCCATGCTGCAGTCTCTTGGGAAAACCTCGACAGGGAGCTCATTCCACAACTTGAGTGTTCGTAGGAGGAAACATCTCTGAAACCGCGCAGTACGCGACCATTGAGGCTGTAGGACATGAGGATGAACTCCCTGTCGATGGCGAGCCGTACGATGGTTGTTTTTGTTAACTGTTCTCATTACGTTTGCAGGCAATTGGATTACTCCTATTAGTACCAGGTGTGGCCATATTGACGAAGCGGAAAATGAACTCGCCGAGTACTGAACCTATAATCCACTCGGAAGCGACGGTCGCCGAGACCCAGTGACGAATAACCAAACACATGTGTACGGTACGAACTCAAATTATATATATTTATAAATTTTGTACACCCCTTATCCACCGACGGTACCCTAATGTAGTGATTACCCTAATACCAAATAGTTAATAAAATACACAGAGATGGCGTTAGTGAGGCGATATATTTTTAACGTCGGTTATTCCTTAATTTTTTTTTAATATATATTTTTTGATAAGAAATCGATAAAAAGTCGAAAGATGACGAAGGTGATGAAGTTTCCATATCCAGATTCGATTTTATTAAAAAAAAAAGATTTCGTGCTAGTAGTGCTATCTCTTGACTATATCATGAAATAAAAGTTGTCGTGTAAATGTTGAGAGATGGCGCTAGTGAGTCGATTTAATTTTAGCTCTAATCCTCATTTCCAGATATGACTTACAAAAAAAGCTTTCTAACTACTAGTGCCATCTCTCTGTTATGAGCTATAAAAAGTGCAATAGCTTTGTCTTTAAAATGTTTAAGTACTGTACATTTTTACTATGTTTAAAAGTACTATGTAATTATTGAAATGTCGAGAGATGTCGTTAGTGAGGCGATACAGTTATAGCGTCCTAAAACTTCTCTTCCATACTACAGACAATTGATTGCCAAACTAGTGCCATCTCTTAGCTATATTAACAACTACATAAACGAATGTAAATAAATTAATTTGTTTATTTGTTGTTTGATTATTTAGCAATTATATAATGTTTATAAATGTTATTTAATTTAATTAAAAAAACAATTCATCGAAACTATGAATACGATATGAAATTATGTTTTTAAGGCTGTCTACACACCTACGGTTTCTTGATTCCCGTGTCGGGAACCTAAGATTTAAGTTAACAAAATATGGACATATATTTTTATACTTTCGTATAATTATAGGAAATCAAATTTGGAGATGCGTTCCCGACATGAAAACTTAAAATCCATGCGTGTGTAGCCGGCCTAAGCCTTTTGACGTGACACACTCTTTTTACTATAAATATATAAATTTAAAGTTAAAAACAAATAATTACATAGAAGGCATTCCTTCTATGTAATTCCTTTTTATTTTATCATTATAAAATAAAAACTGTAAATCATATGGTTGTCTCCTTTCTTCTTATAGAAATATAATTAGTAAAAAGAGGACGAAAGATACACCATCAGTTGGTATTTTTCTCAATTCATAGCAGGCTAGTGTACAGAAAATGTTTGATATGTCAATTATTTGTCAATGACAAATTTTACATTACTATATCATATATTCGACACGGTTTATGTAGAAAGTATGCAAGCAGGTTGTATCTGAATTTGGTAGGTTTTTTTGATGGGTGAAAATGGTATGGCAACCCCGCCTGCGCTAACGGGATACGCTGGCGGAGCACCAGTGAAGGGTGATAGATGAGAATGAAAACAGGCCAGTTAGACCATCATGATGAATTCATCAGGAATTAACCATGATAGTTTCCAGGGGAACCGCGATGAGGTCGACCTGGTTGGGTATATTGCTAGCAATGGGATTCTCAGTCTCCATCACTAACAATCCCTTTCCCCCCAATTTGGTAGGGTTATACGGCCGTATAACATTTTCTATACACTAGTCTGCTATGAATTGACAATTTTATCACTCCTTCTATGTAATTCCTTGTTCTTAGGTTTATACATAATTAAAATTGCTACCAATGTTGGGACCAAAAAGTTTCCGTGTTCTAGAAGTTTCTAGTAATTTTTGTACATGTCAGCACCGTGTTGCCTGAATTCCTTAATGTGTCTTAACCTAGTTGTATGTTATCGTTAAAGAAAGGAATTTCAAAGTGAATTTAGTACATCACGGCGCCTTAACTGTTCAAGGATTAATTATTAGGCTTGAAAAACTTTTACCATTCGATAGCTCGTTTCCTGAGATAGGTTATAGCTTTAACGTAATGTGGTACGATCATAGGTGAAGCTACAGTACACAGCTAGTCAACTGTAAAGATTTTTGAGCTTCCAATGTTAATATTGTATGTCTAACTGCCAACTTAGTGTCGGAGACTTGTTTTTCAGTTCGTATTTGGGAAGGTATTTAATTTTACTAATAAGTAAATGATAGTAAATGAAATCATATTTGTTTGTTGATTTTATTTGGCTTTATAATTGTATCCTGTATAAATCAAACTATTTAGTAATCAGTAATTAATTTTTTTTTAATAAATAAATAAATAAATGAATAAATTTTTGACATTTACGTCAAACCAGTACCGGTTTTAGTTAGTTGATATTGCTATTTGTTTTTGAAAATACACAATTGCGTTGTAGCCATTTCGATGTTTTTTTTTTTTTATAATTATTACTAACTTGGACTGCATTGTTAACTAGACCATTTAAATTTTATTTATTTTTAATGATTATAAAAATTGTATGATTAAAGTTTAATAGATAACTTGTAAATGTAAATTTAGGTTTAATACTATGAATCCATATTCCATTTATGAAGCTTTGGCTTTCTATAAAGTTTTATTTTAAAGTATTTTTTTTAATATATTATTTCATACTAGTTGAAATGGGTTTCCATGAGGGCTAAGATTTTTCCTTTACTTAATATTTCCATGAATACGACCAACCGATTTATATATATATATACCCTATCTTTTATATAGGGTATATATATATATAAATCGGTTAATATATATATATATATATATATATATATATATATATATATATATATATATATATATATATATATATATATATATATATATATATATATATATATATATATATATATATATATATATAATATATATACTTTTTAAAATAGGAAATAAATCATATCTTTTCTATTTCTAAATAAAAAAATGTAATTTAAAAATAATTAGAATTTATATATATATTATTTATATTTTAAATTTATAAATGAATTGTATTTTTATTAAAACTAATGAATACGATAAATTCGCTATTTGCCATATTTCATTCAAATACGTTCGGTGAAATGTTCACTGCTAAACGATAAGTCTACTAATGCCTGACTACCCCATCTATACAGGAATATAGTCGTGAGCATATTATGTACATAATAGATTCTTGACTGATTCGTCCAAAACAATAACCAAAGATGATCAACACCAAAACGGTTAGTGAATTACCAATACATTATAGTACTCTGTATTTCTAAATTATATATAATTCCAAGTTTATTTATTTTTATCGGAAGTCAACGATTTTTAATTAGTAACGGTTTACAGTAAATAAGCGTCAATTATTTATTCTATAAGAAATTCATTAATATGAAATTTTGAAATTAGAATTTACAATTCGATAGCATATCTATTTTTGTTCTTCATTTTATAAATAATGCTTGAATTCAGTTTTGGTAATAAAAAAAAACATAATTCAAATTTAGAAACTGTAAAGGAATCTGTGATCATAAGGCTATGTACATATGTATATAATAATAAACTTGCCAACATTATAATTTCGAGAGTTCGTTCTTAAAAAAAAAATTAAATAAAAAAAAATAGTGTACATAGAACTTTCCAGGTTTTCACTGTTGCCTTTACATTTAAATCTTAGATTATATAAATAGAGCATAGAGCCTCGAAAACGGGTCAACTTTTTGTCAGCTAATTGTCAAATTAGCTGACTCGTTTTTTTATTAGTGTTCTATATACTTACCCATAAAATATATCTTGATGTATTATTTAATAAAGAAAATGAATGTTTACGCATTAAAAATATGCAGAAATTGTAAGACAAAATAATAATAAATATAGAAGTTATAAAGAAATCACTCATAACTATTTATCACGCAAAAATGTATAAAAAAGTGGAGTCGTTTTTCTCGAAGCATTTCCAGACACTCTGTCTATATAATCTAAGATTTATATATATATATATATAAATTATCAGTTCTTTACCAAGTTTATTTATTTGTTTTGAACGAGACGATATCCCTCCTGCTGTAAGATTCATGGGCACGTCATAATTAATTGATAATATATGTGTATTGACTTGAGGCCAAACATATCTCTTTATCCTCTTTCGACATTCACATTTGAACTCGAATAACTCGAATGACAGGGTCGAAATGACAATACGCTCGAAACAAATAAATAATCCTGGCAAGGACCATATATATATATATATATATATATATATATATATATATTAGTCCTTTATTTATAAAGATATCAAACGTTCCATAAATCTATTTTAGCTGTTGAAGTGTTTTGTTTTTTTTTTTTACCTTAAATTCTAAATTTGAAAATGACAAATCACTCCGATTGAGGGGTGATAGGTGAATAATGAAAAAAGGCAGGTCGGTCAGCCCATCGTGATGAATACACATGGAACTCAGCACGATGGGGATGCATCCAGGGGGAACCGCGTGGAAGTCGACCTGGCAGGGTATATTGCTAGCACTAGGACTGGTAGCCCGCATTTCTAACGATCCCTTCCGCCCAGTTAAGAGTGGTTGAGCTTTTATGAATAAGGGGTCATTACCCTCTTATTTATTATATAGGTAAATTCTTTTATATTTTTTTGCAAATATTCTGGTATTTATTGGTATGTTTATTTGTAAATGTATGGTTTACGGATTGATTTATATGCCATAAATGTATAGCATAAGAATTTAATAATAATTCCAATGTATGATATAGAAAATGTATGAGTATTATACATACAATAAAACCGTCAATTACTTGTTATTAAGTTTTGTATGATTCTAATAAAAATTGCATGAATATATTGACTTTTATTTGTGCATAAAAATTGTGTATACATTTTTTTATGCTATGCCGTTGCCTTTTTTTTTTGATGGATGAAAATGGTATGGTAACCCTGCCTGCGCTAACGGGATACGCTGGCGGAGCACCAGTGAAGGGTGATAGATGAGAATGAAAACAGGCCAGTTAGCCCACCATGATTAATTCATCAGGAATTAACCATGATAGTTTCCAGGGAGAACCCCGAGGAGGTCGACCTGGTTATATTGCTAGCAATGGAATTCTCAGTCTCCATTACTAACAATCCCTTTCCCCCTCGTACACTGCGTTTGCCCGCACTAATTAGCCATGTACCAACAGAAATAGATAAAACAATTGTACCAACTCTCAGAACAACCATTAAGGGGGCATGTCAACAATTCATGTACAATTCTGAATTTAAACTGAATCGGAAATGATATCAAGTGAGACATCGGCTCTATTATCAGTCGATCCTTCAGTTCTGTGAATACGTACGGCGCGTGCAGACGTGTTCTACTTAAATACATTTCATTTGTATAAACCACGTGCGTTTGTTGATCTGTACATTGTATAGTTCGCTATATGTATATATACTTTTAAACTAGTTATGGATTTGAGTAAATAAATGTTTACCATTGTCGTGTTACAGTTTAAGTTAATCGTAATTGTTAGTTAAAAAGTATTTTGTGTCTTGTTTTGTTTTGTTTTGTTTTGAATCGTTATCATCGATACGAGGTGAGCTATCGAAAATTCTTTTATTGTTTTTAAGTATATTTGTCTATTTTGTGTGTTTAAAAGATAGTTTATATTGTTACTTTTGTTATTTTTTTTTATAGCTAATAATTCAATGGATGATAATGGAATGGTAACTCCGTCCGCGCTATCGGTATACGCTGGCGGGACACCAGTGTGGGATGATAGGTGAGAATTAAAAGGCAGGTCAGTTAGCCCACCGTGTTAGACCTGGAATTCAGCACGATGGTTTTCAGGTAGGACCATGAGGAGGTCAACCTGGTAGACATTGCTAGCAATTGGGCCCTTAGCCTCCATTACTAACAATCCCTTCCCCTCATAATTGACTATTATCATATTATTAAACAAAAATGAAAGGGATTGTTAGTAGTGGAGACTGAGAATCCCATTGCTAGCAATATACCCAACTAGGTCGACCTCCTCGCGGTTCCCCCTGGAAGCTATCATGGTTAATTCCTGATGAATTCATCATGATGAGCTGGCCTGTTTTCATTCTCATCTATCACCCTTCACTGGTGCTCCGCCAGCGTATCCCGTTAGCGCAGGCGGGGTTACCATACCATTTTCACCCATTAAAAAAAAGGGCCCTGCTCAATAGTGGGATGTTAAGGGTTATCACGGTAAAGTAGAAATTTAAAAGTATTTTAAAATTAACATGACCCCATGGCGTTCTAGTGGTCATTCTCATCGATTATTAATTTATCTTGTACTAGCGGCCCGCCCCGGCTTCGCACGGGTGGACATTTTTACAACATTTTAAAAAGTGGTTATGTCACAATAGCGATAATAGTTGGACATATAGTATCGCGAAGTGTTTTGTAGTTATTGATATTTTCTTCAATATTGTAGAACATACTTTTGTTCTATCACTAATAGTTTCCGCAGCGTACGCGACGAAAGATATTTTATAGCATTTTTTTGACACCTTGACTTACGTTACTAAAGTTTTAGTTAAAAGTAAGGACCCCTAATCTTTTCTAGCAATAAATATAGCCTATGTCACTCAGGGTGAATGTAGCTTTCTAATGATGAAAGAATTTGTGAAATCGGCAAAGTAGTTTTTGAGTTTATTCATTATAAACATACACACACGAAAATACAAATCTTTCCTCTTTATAATATTAGCGTAAATGTAGATTTAACAAAAATATTTTATGTGATCTGAGAAAAGTGTGGACTGAAAGAATGCTTGGGTGAGAAACATTATAAAGAGGATATTGTATTGGTTTAGCCTTTTAAAGAGGATAAATTTAAAAAAAAAGTTTTTTTTTTTCAATGGATGAAATGGATGAATCGACAGGGAGTTCACCCTCATACCTTACAGCCTAAATGGTCGCGTACTGCGCGGTTTCAGAGATGTTTTCTCCCACGAACACTCAGGTTATGGGATGAGCTCCCTGCCGAGGTTTTCCCAAGAGACTACAGCATGGGGTTCTTCAAAAGGGGGTAAAGAGGTTTCTTCAGGGTCGGCAACGCGCGCGTAATACCTCTGGTATTGCAGGTGTTCATAGGCTACGGTAACTGCTTACCATCAGGTGGGCCGTATGCTTGTTTGCCACCTCAGTGGTATAAAAAAAGAGCACTAACCCTGCCTGCATTATCGGTATACGCTGCCGGGGCACCAGTGATGTATGTTAGGTGCGGATGAAAGCAGGTCAGTTTTTTTTAATGGGTGAAAATGGATTGGTAACCCCGCCCGCGCTATCGGTGTACACCGACGAGGCACCAGTGGAAGATGATAGGGGAGAATGAATGCAGGTTAGTTGGTCCACCATGCTGAATTCGACAAGAATAAAACATGATGGTTTCCAGGGGGAACCATGTGGAGGTCAACCTGAGAGGGTATATTACTAGTAATGGGGTTATTAGACCCCATTACTAACAATCCCTTTCCCCCCTAAAAGCAGGTCAGATAGCCCATAGTGGCGAATTCAAAAACTAACCACAATGGTTTCCATGGAACCGCATGGAGGTCCACTTAAAGAGTGAAGATGTTGGTAGGGGTTTTTTTAATGGGTAATGATGAAATGGTTACTAGCCCAATAATTGCACTATCGCTAGTGGTTTTTTTTTTTTATTTAAAGTATATATGTATAATTTTAACTGTGCTGTATGACTGTTTTTTGTTATTTCTTATGAAATATATATTTTTCATTTTTATTTTTACTGTAAGTTTTTTTTTCTAAAACAAACGGGATTTTTTTAATGGATGAAGATGGATTGGTAACCTCGCCATAATATAATGGTATCGCCTGAACCACATATATAGTTTCTTTTTTAATGGATGATAATAGAATGGTAACCCCACCCGCGCTATCGGTATACACCGGCGTGACACCAGTGAAGGATGATAGACGAGGATGTAGCAGGTCAGTTAGCCCATCGTGACGAATTCAACAAGAATTGTTCACGATGGTTTCCAGGGGGAACCACGTAGAGGTCGACTTAATAAGGCATATTGCTAGCAATAGGGCTGTCAAACCCCATTGCTAACAATCCCTTTCCCCCCACATATATAGAGTATAGAGTAATAAGATTAATTAATGTATATGAACCCGATATTACACATAATATGTTATGCCTAATCTCTCGCCTATAAACGGGTTAAATTAATTTTGTTTTCTTATCTGAAAGATATGAGTCGTAGTGATAAGAGAAGCAGCGTCGCTCGTAAGCAACCACAGAGCAAATAATCAAAACAGGCTTCAACTACTTTGAATAGTTTTCGCTAACTGTCTTCTAATTAAATATGTTTTTTTTTTTATACAACTTATAATGGCAAACAAGCTGACGGCCCACCTGATGTAAAGTAGTAACCGTCGCCTATAGACATGAGCAGTACCACGGACATAACAGAGTACAGTGTTTCGCCCATGATACCTCATGCGTTGCTATTTCTGAGGACTCAGGTGTTATGCGTCTATGCCCTGTAAATTCACTGTCATATCCCACCCTTTAAACAGAAACATAGCTATGCAAACACAATTGCTTCACGATAGAAACACTAATGTATATGTAATTCAATGATACCCACAGTCACCTTTAATCATCGCACCGCTCGCCATCGACAGGGAATTTATCCTGACACGCTTGAACCTAAATGGTCGTGTACAGTGCGGTTTTTTTTTACAATACAGGGGGCAAACGAGCATGCGGCTCACCTGATGGTAAATGACTACCGCCGTCCATGATCACCCACAACACCAAAGGCATTGCAGGTGTGCTGCCGGCCTTTTAAAAAGGAATATACTTTTTTCTTGAAGGTTATGTTGTCGTATCGGTGGAAATACTGCTGCTGAATGTTGATTCCAAAGAATGGTTGTGCGTGGAAGAAAGTACATTGAAAAACGCACGGTGGAAGACCGCCACTCGTCCAGATGATTGGGATGAAACTTTAGTTTGTGGCGGGTTGTACGGTGGTGAAAATCAGCAGCAGGTATCAATCTGAACAATTCCTCAGAACACTCCCCATGATAAATTCGGTAGAAGATGCACAGAGATGCAACATCTCTGCGCAGTTTCAGAAATTTTCTCCCGCGTATGCTTACGTTGTAGAATGATTTCTCTGGCATAGTTTTCTCTAGATATTACAGTATGAGGTTCTTCAAAAAGGGTATATTAAGGTTTCTTCAGGGTCGGCAACGCGCACGTGACACCCCTAGTGTTGCATACGTCCATAGGCTACAACGATCGTTTACCATCAGACGGGCTGTATGTGAGTTTGCTGCTTTTGTGGTATAAAAAAATAAAGGCCCATTAAAATATAGTATAAAATTAAATATTTCACAATAGTATTCATATAACACTATGTATATAATTTAATTTTTGTATTACATATATACATAGATAGATACTCTCTATTGTTTCCTCCAAAAGATTACAGTAGTAAATTTATTATAGATACAAACAATTACAAGAAATGTTTACGCTGAGAAAACAATGGGCGGCCTTATCGCTAAAAGCGATCTCTTCCAGGCAACCTTTGGATGGGGAAGAGTAGTTATAAACAGTTTGATTGGAGGCACGATGAAAATTCTGTCATTTTTAAATGCATATAATGATGGAAAGTGGTAACCGTCGCCTATAGACATGAGCAACACCATGGACATAACAGAGTATACTGTTTCGCCCATGATACCCCCCATGCGTTGCCATTCCTGAGGACTCAGGTGTTATGCCTCTATTCCCTGTAAATTCACTGTCATATCCCACCCTTTAAACAGAAACACAGCCATGCAAACACAATTGCTTAACGGTAGAAACACGCATGGGACAGAGGTACCCAAGCAAACGACTTTTGTACAAAGTCTCCCTCTGGTCGTAGCGAGGGGGAGCATTAAGGGGCAACGTTCTACCTTAAAATGCTCAATACCCTACCTTAAAATGAAAGCCTCCAAAACAATTAGACAGATTCGATTTTTCGAAGTCAATTATGGCTTCTGTCCTTATTAATTAAGTACTTATGCCTTACTTGGGTCTGGCTAGGGCCTTGCCTTAACTGTTTAGTAGTGTCCGATCGAAACAGGTTTTACAGCCGAAACGAGTCTCAGTTTCGGCCGAAACCGAAACCGAAACATACTGATACATATTTAAAAATTTTCTTCTATACTGAAATCTAGTGTATTTTTTACACATTTATTTACACAAACACACAGATAGATAAAAGGTAATAATAAACACTAATTAAAGTATGTAACATGTGTCATTTATATGTAAAAACATGTTAAAATTATGACTTAGACTTGAATGTAAACTAAAAAATAAACAACTTTCAGTTAGACACATACACAACACAAATAAATACATAAAGTTTCGGCGCAGCCGAAAGTTTCGGCCAAATTTTTGGCCGAAACTAGCCGAAACCGAAACCGAAAGTTCGGTTGGACACTACTGTTTAGTATAAAATAGTAGGTACTTTAGTAGATATATCTATTACAGTGTATTCAATCTCAATTAGATATCTAATAACAGAGAGAACACCT